AATACAAGTACTGCCGACCGGCTTAGAGACCAAGATGATCCCTCACTGACCAAAATTTCAACACAATGGTAATCAAAAATAAAAGATTCTCTTGAAGCACTATCTCGGCAATCGGACAATCCACACTTGACTGCAAAAAACAAGACATGAAGGCCGACTTATTACGGATCGGTTAGATTGTACCTACTCTCAACATTACATAATGCGGAGTGTGAATGGTCGGCTTAAGTACATTTACATCTTGGCACCCTGGCTTAGCAAGCTACCAAGCTGGGGGCTTATGTTCTAGCCGACCACTTTATAACCCCAGCAGATTGGGCCCAATATTATAGTCCATATCTAGAACGTTCTAGAGGGCACCCCATACTCTTACACTATGCCTATCGTGCACTGACAGTAGGGCAACATGCTTTGTCTCAAGGACAAGACAGGCTACAGGTAAGATAGCTCCCTAATACTCTCTCCCAGGCTGGATGAGTCTTCTCCTCTCTAAAAATACCCTCTTCTATAGTTGAAGAATGGACCTTCTCATCTTGCATCTTATGAGCTGTTACTACCATAGTCATTTCACACACCCCCTCCCCTCCCCTCCCTTTTTTTTTTATATATTGCACCTGCGAAGCTTCCATGGAACCATAGTTTCTACTTTGATTACTAAGAACACCCCTATATCAATATACTTACCTTCCATGAAATACATCTATGAACTACACAACAGTTCAACATGTATTACAACATTCACACCACGTGCTAGTCGATGAAGTTACTGTTTTACCTGAATGCTAAAACTTCATCAAACCTTGTCTCTATCTAAAAGAAGAAGAAAAAATAGTTGCATTAAACTTTAAAACGGTCCAAAAAACATGGAACAGATAAACTATAAATTACACTATCCTAACACTGTTGTATATTATCTAAAACATGCACCTTTTTTTTTCATTTTGCTTAATTTGTTGATGAGTCTTTGAGTTCAACTGCTTCAAAAACAAATCACATGCTATTAATTATTTTCTATATAGGCATACATCATAATAATATGCCAAAATATGAAGTCAAATTTCTGCCATGGGATTAACACGGATAAATTTGTCTGGTTTTGACATACGGGGACATGGATTGAGAGCACGAAATGAATACACCGTTTGGGTCTCTTATCTGCGTGTCATTGCGTATTGGACAACAAAATAGGGACCGACACGTGTCTCCATGTGTCTAATTTGTTTATTTGTTAGGATACTGCATAGACAACGTTACATATCAATTTAATTTCGCTCAACTTTTCATTTTGTTTTGTAACATATGATATACATCAAGACATTAAAACCTAGAAGCTTTTATAGAATTTAGTGTGTTTATTTATCCGTGTCAGTGGTCGATGTCCGTGATTCATAGAATTCATCAATTGGGATCCCAATCGCTATCTCTAAATAATATGAAGGGGTGTTTGGTATGAAAAATTTAATAAAATTCTTGGTAAAGTACTGTAGGTCAAATATATTTATCATGTTTGATATGTGTTTAATTTATCAAATATCAGTATATTATTTTACCAGTCAAAATGATTTTGTACTAGAGTCTGCAAAAAAAAAAAATGCACTTTCAAACATGGTATTTTTTTTATCTGCGTAAGGATAGACCCTTTTTCCAATTTTAAGACAAAAATGCCCTGAATAAACTTTTCGAAAATGGATTGCTAAAACGTATTTTCTGACTCTGATTAAAAATTTCAACATAATGGGTAATTTCATAATTTCTCTACACATTCCCATCAATATTTTACCATCAACCAAATATAGTATTAGTAAAAATAACTCAACTTTCCTAGAAAAATTGGCACCTACCAAACACCTTTTTGTAACTTACCCAAGCCAAAAAAAATTTCACCATATTCCGGGATATTTTTTTTCTCTGGTTATAAAAAATATCCCATATCAAATACTCTTTAAAGGGAAATTATGTGGTGGTTTTCCCACACTCAATATACCGATTTGCTATTGGATGGCAAGATTTTATCACTCGCTCGGGGCGTTTAGTTCCGTAGGGGGTTCCATTGGGTTTGAATCTCGCCCCTCCTCCAGCAAAATATGTTTTTTTTTTTGTAAAAAAAAAACAGAGTTTGGTCTCCAACCTTTGGGGAATTGTTAATTTTGAATATCAGATCATGTTGAATCAAAACTTTGCATCCTTATTATAGATGCATATACAAGGCATTAGAAGACGCATATACAAGACATGAGCTGTACAGATGGATATAAATGTAATAAATACAAATACAAGGTATGAGTTGTACAAACGGATAGAAACATAATAAATGCAAATATTTGAAGATGATTCAAAATATTTAAAATTGAATCGGACACCAATATTCGAAATTAATTCAAATATTTTTTTCCTTATCTTTTGCTCTAATACTCTCCCTCAAATTGGAACATGGAGGGAGGAGATCGAACCAATGTTTTTGTGAGAATATCGATTAGCCGTATAGCTGATTGAATGTAAGGTGGAGAAAGGATGCTCATTGCTCGCGAATGAAGTGACAATCCAATTCTATATATTTAAGGGGTGTATTGGATTAGGATTTTAAGGGGGTGTATTGGATTAGCATTTTCAAAGAATTTTTTTGAGCTAAAAAATCTTATAGATTTTAAAAGACTATTTAGACTTGGAGAGACTTTAAAGACTTTTTTAAAAGTCTTTTTTACAATCAAGATTTCATACGATTGGATTTTAAAGGATTTTAATAGAATTTATAAGATCTGAAAGGACAATATGGATTTATAAGATTTTAAAAAATCATATGAATTTTTAACAAACATTCAAAATTACAAGAGTCAATACAAATTAAAGGGAAATGTTATACTTACAATCTATTTTTATTTACAACATTTTACAACCATATCTTAACCGTTTATTTCCATCAATCAATGATTATCATTCATTGCAAATTAAATATCAATTAATGAGTTTGATTTGCGGAAATAATAACCATTGATTGACAGAAATCAACGGTTAAGATATGATTGTAAAAAGTTGTAAACAAAAATAGGTTGTAAGTATAATCTTCTCCATAAAAAAATAACAAAGAAATGCAATGAAATTAATAAAAAAAAGTAAAATCTAATATAATTTTCTCAATCAGTAAAACATAATATAATTTTTAACAAACATTCAAAATTACTAAACAACAGCTTTTCACATATCTAATGGGTTGAAAATTATCTTCTTCATTTGGTATCAAAGCTATGCATGTATAATTATAAGACCCTATTTTTTTTAATTATAAAAATAATTCTAAATTTGCATATAGAACCTAAAGTTCATGATAAAATTTCGTTTCGAATTTTTTGCAATTGATCTTGAAAACCTTGGGGTTTTTGTTTTACGTGATGAGAGTTTTCTAACCATATATCATATGCATATTTTCATTGAAAATTCTATGAAAATTTCGAATCTGAAATTTTTGGTTTAATTACATGAAAGTTTAAAAAATTTCTCAATTTTTTTTCAATCGATACATGAAACCTTAAATTGCTTTGAGGCTTTTGAGAAACAAGCTTTTAGTTATCTATTGATACAAAAATTATTTGAAATTGTTTCCTATAGTGAAGGAATTTCGTTCATGAATGTATTGTTACGAAATATAGGGTTCATATTATAAAAGTTTCAATCTTTCTTTAAATTGATATTGTTTCATTGATGTAAAACGAAAATTGGTTTGAGAGTTTTAGTTTCCCTGTTATTTTTTCACTGTTTTATGTTGTTTGTACCAAGAAAAATCGTGACCCATAGCTTGAAAAATCACTTTTTAAACTTCCAAAATTTCTAAAAAATGGCTAAAAAATATGTTATTTTTGAGATAAATTATATTAAAATCTTGTTGGATTGTTGTTTCTGGGTTATTTTGTGATAAAAATCGCTCAAAAATATGCTTTTTTTTAGTTTTGACGAAGCTTCCATGGCGGAACCCAATTTTGAGCAGTCAATCTGCCAAAGGAAGAAGAAATCACTACAATAGAAGAATCTCAAGAAATCCTAGGGGTTATGGTGAGATTGTGAGAAAAGCATCTTATTTATATTTTTCACAAAGTCTCACTAAATCCACACAAATAGAAAATCCTTTAAAATCGTCGGATTTTTGAATACCACGAGATTGTGATTCCATTGTTTAAAATCCTGATTGAATACCAAACGGATTTGGACGGATTCTAAAATAATCCTTTAAAATCATAATCGAATAGCACGTGACTTTTTTTCAATCCATTAAAATCCTAATCGAATACCAACAGAATTTTTTTTTTCCAAAAACAATCTATTAAATTTTCTTGAAATCTCAATCCAATACACTCATCCAATACACTCGTGCTCATTAAAAACAAGGTTGGCAGTAATATGCAAAGATTATCAGAATCATCAAATCTATGATGAGTCTGTCCTACCTAATTCCAACCTGGCATTATTTGTCAGCACACAATCATACAGCAAATTAACACAAATTTGTTGGAAATCGACAATCACACAGAATCGAGAAAACAGAAAAAGAGATAAGAGTAGAGAGATTGACACGATGATTTACCTTGGTTCACCCAATATAGGCTACGTCCAGCTTGTCTGTACTATATTCACCTCACCGCCACTCGTTACAAGTCTCTCGGTTTACAAGGCAAATATAAATAGGATTACAAGAAACCCTAACAGCAGCTATTCAAGGGCCCAAGCCCAAACTGTTAAGAAAATTACAATAGAAACAGAGGCCTAAACATTACCTAGCCTCTACGGGCCGGGGGGCGCTGCCCCCCGGACCCCCGCCCGCTCTCCTGAGAACGGGACCTCAGTTGTCTTTCTGCTGACCCCGACAATTAGGGCCAACATCATCGTGTGAAGTATGAGCCATACCCAACAAAATTAACACCACACGCTCACAAAGAGACATGTACTAAAGCTGAGTTATAAAAACACACACCACTCTCCTCACTTCTCCTTGCTTGACCCTTCCATCCCTAATCCTCCAAAATGAAGCAAGCACCACTTGTCACTTCCACTCTTGTGTTCTTCCTCACAGCACTTCTTTCCTTCACTGCCAATGGCCATAACATCACTCTCATACTTGCCCAAAACCCTGAATTCTCCACCTTCAACCACTACCTCACCGCCACACACCTCGCCGGAGAAATCAACCGCCGCCGCACCATCACCGTCCTTGCCATGGACAATGCCGCCATGTCATCTCTCTTGGACAAACACCTCTCTATCTACACCTTAAAAAATGTCCTCGCCCTCCATGTATTAGTGGATTACTTTGGTATCACAAAACTTCACCAAATCACAAACAGAACCACTCTTGTTTCCACTATGTTTCAGGCAACAGGAGAAGCTGCTGGCACTTCAGGTTACGTGAACATCACAAACCTTAAAGGAGGGAAAGTTGGGTTTGGCGCAGAAGACAACGATGGACAACTCCATTCATTCTATGTCAAATCTGTTAAGGACATTACATATGACATCTCTATCCTTCAAATTAGTCAAGCTTTGAGTTCTGCTGAAGCTGAAGCACCAACAGCAGCACCCAGCGAAATCGACCTAATCTCAATCATGTCCAAACAAGATTGCCAAGCTTTTGCAGATTTGTTGAGAGCTTCACAAGCTCTTCCTTCGTTTAATGAAAACGTTGATGGGGGTTTAACCGTTTTCTGTCCAACTGACAAAGCCGTCAACGGTTTCGCCCCCAAGTACAAGATTCTCACGGACGCTCAGAAGGTGTCATTGTTGTTATATCATGGTGTTCCTGTTTACCAGTCCTTACAAATGTTGAAATCAAATAATGGTGTCATGAGTACTTTGGCTACTCAAGGAGCCAACAAGTACGATTTCACAGTGCAAAATGATGGGGAAGATGTGAAACTTGATACAAAAGTTGACACAGCAAACATTGTAGGGACATTGATAGACCAAGACCCTTTTGTGGCTTATAAGATTGACAATGTTTTGTTGCCTAGAGAGTTGTTTAAGGAGACAGTAGAAGAAGCACCTGCAGAGTCTCCTAAGCCAGCAAAGAACAAGAATGGGGAAGCAGCGGATGCACCAGCAGATGGGCCAGGAGCAGAAGCAGATGATCAGAAAGCTGATGATGATGATAATAATGGGGTAAGTGGATTGAACAATGGGTTCAGATTCATCATCGTGTTGTTAAATTTGTTTATTGGGGTTTTGGTTCTATAATTGCTTGCAATTTGCATGCCATGAAGTGATCATTCTATGGTCAATGTTCATGTTAGAGATTCTTTTCTTTTCCTTTGATATTATTTATGAAGGAAATAAAACGGTGACACGACAAGTTTGAGGCACTGCACTGTCCTTTTTTTTCTGAATTATTGAATTGGCCTTTTTTTTTTCCAGTGTGGGTAGATCAGTATTTAGTTTATATTAATCAATACTCATATGATTCGATGAATGCATTTTATTTTATTTTTGGACATATGAAGTGTACTTTTTTGATATAAAGTTGAAACGAGGTTTAAACAAATCATCTTGCGTTAATTCTTTTATCACTATGTCATTTGTAGTTGCCTAGTCAGGTGAAGATTATGTAACTTGATGAAAATTTCTCTTATTTCCTCTTATTCATTTTTTAATTGCATCTCCCTTTGATTGAATGATATAGTATGATAAATATGGCCACCTAACAAACGTGTACGGTTTACTGATATAGTAACTTGGGCAAAACGGAAAATTTCTTCTTCTTTTTTTCCTTAGTATGAAAAAATGGAACTTCAAAAAGTAAAATCTGGTCTAGCTACCCATAACTTGAAACAAAATAAAATAAAATAAAAAGACAAATATTATTTAAGATTGTAATTAAAGTAAATAGAAAAAAAATTTGTATGCACCGAATGTATCTAATTGAGTACATTTTTTTTTTCAAAAAGAAAAAAATTCAAAATGTAAGGAAAAAAATTTCAAAGTTGTGAAATTTTTTTCAATTATAAAAAAATGAAGCACCCACTTGGGTACTCCTATAGTACCAAAGTTTTGAATAGAGTAAGCATTGAAAAAAATAATAAAGAAAAAAAATGCCAATCCCAAACCAAAGATAAAAAGAAATAAAAAAGCCGATAATCACATATAAAAGACGTAAATAATTAAAAGAAGAGTCTTATTAATCTCATATTGTTAGAGACATCTTATCTCATGTCATAGAAATAAATATGTGGATCTTTTTATAAAATGTAGGCCCCAAATGTTTATCTCGATGACATGAGACATAATGTCTCTATCAACATGAAAAAATATTTTCATAATGAATGAGTTCAAGAAAAGTTATACATTAGACACTTTGTCTGAATCCAGTGCATTCATAAACTTTGCGCTTGGTTTATATTATTTTAGTTTCTATTTAAATCTAGAGTAGAGTTATATCGACAAATTTTTTTTTTACAAACTTACAAACTACACTATATCTGACCAATAATACTATACTTAAGAGTGTATTTGTAAGAGTTTGTAAAGAAAAAGTTTGTAAATATAACACTACCCTGTATGATTAGAATTTAATACAATTTTAACAATGTGGAACTTCACTCCTGAAGCTTTCATCCCAATAATATATTGGTGTCAAAAGAATAAAAAATAGGAAGAGGACATAACATATTATTCAGGACAGCAAGAAAATGCCGTTGCTCAAAGAATACAATGAAATTTACACCACCACTCTTCTTCTCCAGAGAACGTCTCTGGCCTACTATCTCTCTCTTGATTACAAAATTCTCAATCCTTTTTCTTCCCTCCCTCTCCCTATTCTCAAACAAGTAGGAATATCCTAGTTGATTGGGATATTCCTAATTGCATTTATTTATTTTGTTCTCCTGCCTACTTGGTCTGAACATTTATTTTTTCTTCTAACATAGGTGGGATTTATTAGGAGTTTCCTTAAAATTTCTTAGTATTCTATGACATCATTCCCTTTAAATTAAAGCTCAATAAGTATATGTCAAGCTTACAAGGGTCTGACAAGGGGCTAACAAGTATATGTCAAGCTTGCTCATGTTTGGAAGCTAACAAGGGGCTAGCATCCCGGTTGTTAAAGTACAGATATGTTTTTTTGCCAGAAGATGTATGAGTAAGTACGGTAGAAAAGCCAGTGTAGTTGCCATCCAACTTTGATAAGCATATTTTCGTAATAAAGTCAAAGAGCTCATTTTCTTGCACAAAAGGCTGGGCTGCATAATCTTCAACTGGCATCCACTGAATAGAAATACAAACGATGTCAGAATGTTCGCTACTGTAGTTACAAAGAATCATAATAAAGATAAGCGGCAGTAGTTTGAAAGAATCAAAATCTTTCGGGTATCAATGGCATGATAGGTATCAATGGCATGATAGATTATCAGTATGCAGCCTTGGAAACATTTAAATGAAGAATGAAAGCTACATGTTCGAAACTTAGAATGCTACTCTACTGAAAATTAGTGAAATCCATTTCAATTGACCAAACAGCATGTACCTGAGCTGCCACAATTTCTGAAGCTTGACTCTGAATGTCAAAGGATTGAGGTTGCAACATGCAAACAAAGAACAAATCTGATTTCTCGAAGAAAGACTTATGGCTTTGCCTGATACCAAAAAGACAAAGACGGTGAAGGACAGACAATATTAATTTAGATTTCAGAGAACAAAATAGTGCAAATTATATGCATAACAACATGATGGTTCTTGTGTAAAAATGCAGATGCTTTTTTGACAGAACACCACATGCTAGTCGATGAAGTTACTGTTTTACCTGAATGCCAAAACTTCAACAAACTTCGTCTCTATCTAAAAGAAGAATAAAAGAATAGTTGCATTAGACTTTGAAAGTTTCCAAAAAACATGGAACAGATAAACTATAAATTACACTCTCCTAACACTGTTGTGTATTATCTTAAAAATACACCCTCTTTTTTTTTCTTTTTCTTTTTTCATTTTGCTTAATCTGTTGAGTCTCTGAGTTCAATTGCTTCTAAACAAATCACATTCTTTAAATATTTTCTATACAAGACATACATCATAATAATATACCAAGTATGAAGACAAATTTCTGCCATGGGATTAACACAAGATTAATTTGTCTGGTTTTAATATACGGGGACATGAATTGAGGTCTAATTCATCATATAAAAGCACGAACACACCGTTTGTGTCTTATCGGCGTGTCATTGCGTGCTGCACGTGTCTCCATGTGTCTAATTTTTTTATTTATTCGAAATGGCTATGACATAGTACTGGTAGCCGTAGGATACGTCATGGCCATATAAAATTTGAAAAATACAATAAAATATGTATTGCGAAAACTGTTTCGAATCTTTCGATACGGATTGGATAATGCTTAACTGAATTAAATCGGCTTGGGTACCGATAATAAAATTGAAAAAAAAAAAGTTAGGTCTGTTTTCGAAAATTTTATTAGAAAATAAATTAGTGAAATGTGCTTTTGTTACATATCAATTTAATTTCGCCCAACTTTAATTTTAATTATTTATACTAGGCTCGGATACCGATTATTTGTTGTTACATATGTCTCAATAAAATTGAAAAAAAAAATTATACTTAATTTTAATTATTTATTCCCTTGTATGTGTGTAACATGATCATGTCCCAATATAAATGTACCTTTAGTTCAAAAATACATAATATCTTGCTTGGGTTTAAAAGCACCAAAATACATAATATACATGGTATTAGTTGAGTACTTGAATTAAAATTTGCTAAATAATATTATTCAATTTTAAATATTTTAAAAAAAAGTGTAATTCGAAATTTCAAGCTTTAAAACAAGTTTATGGTTTGTAATGCTAGAAGAAATTCCAGCTAATAAAGAGAAAATTAAAAATTCACAAAAAATAATAAATGACAAAATAAAGAAGCATATTCCTTTTTTTTTTTTTGGGTGCAATTGGAATTTGGAAACAAAGTTTTTTTTTGTTTTCTGAAAGGAAACAAAGTCTTTGATTATAAGCAGAAAAGCTAGAGGACATGATAAAGGAAACAAAACAACGATAAAAGGACATCATGGTATATCAATTATTTATTAAAGTATAATAAATACACACATGAATTATGCTCCTCTTTATAATATTTTTCATCTTTATATTTAAAACTAAGTTTTGTAAAGGAAATGATAAAATTAATTAAAGGTTAGTTTTTTTTTTCTTTTTGAATATAATTAACGGTATAACTATCTGTTAGAGAATGAGAAAATGGAGGGTAATGTATAATTAAGTTTAAAAGTTGTTATTATTTTGACAAACTTCAAGCGGAACGCAATTTACTCTGCACTATATATTGGTTATGTGTGTACTTACCCCCGTCTCTTCTTTGACTTCTCTAATTGCAGCATTACAAATATCCTCACCCTGCAAAAGGAATTAAAATGTATCAAAATATAATTTTAGAAAGTATAATAATTTGATCTGTAATCATTTTGATATACTTCATTAACAGCTCCTGTAGGCATCTTCCATACACCTGTGCCCCTGAACTTGCCACCGGTTTCCTGAACCACAAGCACCTATCAAATGAAACAAGACAGTTTTAACATCATAACATATTAAGGAAGCTGAATGATCACTGAACAAAATACCAGATTTTATTTAGCAATAAGAGAGTAGTAGGATAACCACAGAATGAAGGCTGAGATGGACTACAGGTTGATGATCAAAGGGAACAAGTTGAACAAAGAAAAAAAGTTACTCCCTGGAAATATGGGGTTCACTCTAGCCCAAAAGGTCTGAAGTAGTCAACGAAAAAATTTAACTGCAGACGCAGAATGTCTTGTAGTGAAAGCTATACAAAATCTTACGGGCCGTTTGGTAGGAGGCAAATTTCCAAATGCCTAGGATTCTGAATTGGTAGTCTAAGATTGCAATGTTTGGTATCCAAAAAATTAAAATTATCTTGGGAAACAAATTTTTCGGGATTTCCATCCATAGTGCAAAAGTGTACCAAAATTCCAACCTCAAAATACCAAAAATAAGTTGGAATTCTTCTTTTCCAAAAGAAATGGAACAAAAAGTGCAAACAATAGACCAAAATAACCCTATTGATGCATTGTGTCATATCCTTCTGAACATACAAAGGGTAAATGTGTGAGGTCATGTTTCATTCCTACTAATATTTCACAATCAACCAAATACATACTCAGTAAATTTAAGCATAAAATCTCGGGAAGATCTGACCTTACCAAACACTTTTTTAGTAAAATTTCTGAAGAATTTATTTTCCACTATATTGCAGTAAAAAAAAATTTCTCAGATAAATAAAAATTTATCTTCTATCAAACACCTCCTAAAAGTTTGAGACAGAGGAATTTAATCACTAACATTTTTTAACACGCGTCCTTACATGAAGACTTGTACTTTCGTGCACGAAAGGAGAAGGACCAAATTCAACTGTGATTTTTCAGGTGTTCCAGAAATTATACCATAGTAGATTTCCAGGTGCTTTCAAAAGCTTAACATATTATAAGACACAATATTTAAACATTCACCATAATTTTTATTTTATTTTGACTATCACGCGTTAATTTCTTTGCAAGAAAATAAGCTCCATGCAGAAGTCATAAGACTGGTCTAAGATATGTTTGTAACATGTAAGTTTCAAGATGTGGAAAAGTACAGTCAAAGTTGTGTTATTTTCCCAATATACTTCGCAGGCAGCAAAATTTGAACTTCAAAAATCCATGATGAACAGCGGGAAAAAAGAAATTGCTAAACCAGTGAAAATTGGAAAACAAAAACAAAGGAAAATTGCGTCCCTTTAAAATGAGCTGAAAAAGATATGCTTACAAATACATCTACCCTTGAATTTGAGTGAATTAAAATAACCATATGCTTTAAATGAAATTAAGAACAGATAATCCTTACTCGTATATTTAAGATAAACAAACTTCAAAAAGCTTTTTTCAACAAAGAAAGATTACCTCCCTCTTGTTGTTGATGACAAAAGCACCAACACCGACGCGATGTGAAGCATTTGCGGGAAGGCTATCAGGAGTATCAGGAATCCAATATACAAGCATCAAGTAATCTGGTTCAGCGTGGTGGTACCTAAATCCAGCCTGCAAAATAAGCATGAGAATCATCATAATAAAATGGCTTCTTAGGATTCAGTCACTCAGGCATTTTATCAGCTATGTTGCAGAAAATATATATTTACCTTCACCGCAGAATCAACAAGATTTGAATGTTGAATGGGCAACTTGATCCACACTCCCTTCTTTCCCTTAAAAACACGTTTCGAATAAATGATATAACAGGGATGGTGATTAGTAACTAGATTACTGAATTGCAGCATTGAAAACCTACCTGTTGCCTCAAATTTGAAATTTTAGCTTCCAAAATAGAAGGAAAGAGCATAGGATCAAGAGGCCCTTCCACGTTTAGAAGAACTCCTCCATGTTGATCCTCGACTGCACTCAGTAATTCAATGGTTTCGCCTTCCATTTAGTGGTATGTTTTTTTGGGAAAAGGAAACGGCTCTTATAATTGAAACCTAAAAGGGATCACAAATTAACAATGGCAAAGCTCAAATAAAACTCGTTTAACCTACCAAAAGGAAAAAAAAAACTCGTTTAGTTTGCTGAGCAAATACCGTGTTATCTTGAGAGGTTGAAGGGAGAAGAGAGCAATAATTTATAATCAGCGAAATAAGCTTCAGGGGTTGGACTTTTGGTTTGTTGAACGGTTTTCTTTTCCATCTCAGAAAACGCAATGCAATGCAGCACAGAGCGATGCGATGAAAACTCAGCCGTCCCCATTGAATATTCAATTCAGGGTGCGTTTTACAAGAATAGTCATTCAAGAAAAACCATTTGGTATTCAATGCTCCCCTTCCTCATAAGTTTCATACAACTATCATCAACACGCGACTCGGTTTGCTATTTCAAATTTGTTTCCAAAACTATCTCTAACTTTTTCCTTTTAAGGGAAAAGTATTCGTGTTTTTTTATGTAGAAATTGTTTTTACGTCAAAAGTTACTAGAATATCACGAGAATTGTCAATGTGACCCAATAACTCAACCCGTCTCCTAGCGGATTATAATGCTACCTCGAGCCTAACTTACGTAGGGACCACCATCAATGATATAAGCGGATCAAATATACTAAATAGGCCGAACATCAACATCATTGTTAACTCAAAACTTTAAGGTTGGGTTCATGGGTCCTCCCACTTATATACTTTTCACCTAGCTCATATCAATTAATGTGGAATTCATCCCACTTGAATATTTCAACAATCTCTCTCTCAAATGTGAAATCCACCATTGGTATAATCGACAATCACACACAAATTGCAAACGAAAAGAAAATGAGAGAAAGAATTAACACGGTGATTTACCCTGGTTCACCCAATGTAGGCTATGTCCAATTTGTTTGTACTATATTCACATCATTGTCACTAATTACAAGTCTCTCGGTTTATAAGAGGAATATAAATAGAAAACCCTAATAGCAGTTATTCATGAGTCCAACCCTAACATCAATTATTCATGGGTCTAAAACCCAACCCTCGTTACCTTTCTGTTTACCCCGACAACAAAAATTATAAAAATTCATGAGCCTAAATTTTTTTTTTAACTATGTACTCTTGAGAGTACATAATTAAAAAATGATTGTAAAAATGAACAATAACATTCCTGCAACATGATTCTTATAATTCTTTTAAGGGAAAAATGTTTCTGCAGTTAATGCAGATAAGTTATCTGCATTTATTCCCAAAACGACGTCGTTTTGGTATTGAAATCTTAAAAAATTATAAATATAAAGACTATTATAACCCTAAAATAAATTAAAATTACAAAAATATCATGATTTCCATCTCAAAACGATGTCGTATTGGACTTACTGCAGATAATTATCTGCAGTAACAGCAGAAAAAGCGAACCCTTCTTTTAATCTCACAATATTAGAATGATTTAATATTTCTGTTTTTCTCGCAATTATTGTGTGTGAAATTCACATAAAAATAAACGAGTAAGAGAGAGAATAGAAAATAGGATAAAGTTTTTGTTTAGAGTAATTATACTTTTGTTTTCTTCAGTCCTCACGTTTTGAGAATAGAAAATATGGAAAAGTTCAAACACTTCTTACGGTTTTGTTTTGAATCACTTAACTCTTCATATATTTTTTTAATCACTTATCTTCTATGATTTTTTCCATCAAAATTAATTCTTAAAATGGTTAGAAACTTAACTAAATTTTCTATTTTACCCATTTTAGAAAAATTAAAATAAAATGTTACAAAAAAATAAAAGACAAAATATCATAAAAGCTTATAACACTTACATAAAAAATTAAAAGTACAAAATATAAAATTAGAAGAAAAAAATTCAAATATGTCAAAATAAATTGAGGACAAAAAGAAGAAGAAAAAAATAAGATCAAATATAATAAAAACTTACAATAGTCACATAAAAGATTAAAAAAAATGAAAATAATCTAAATAAAAAAAGAAAAGAGAATGAAGATAAAAAATAGAAAAACAAATATGAAAATATATGTTGGAAACATATAATAATAATTTCTTTTTCTTCTATTTATTTTTTATCTTATTTTTTCTCATATTTCTTTTAACCGTGAAAAAAAAAATTAAAAGTGAAAAAAATAAAATAAAAAAATAAGATCAAATATGTTTAAATCAAAAGGAAAGAATTATCACACAAAAAAAAAATCTAAAGGAAGAAAATACATTGAAGACAAAAAAGAAAAAAATTGAAGAAAAAATAAGACAAAAAATATTAAAAACTTAAAAACTAATTATTTTTCTTCTATTTATTTTTTTCTATATTTTTTATTTTTTTATGGAAAAATTATTTTACCTTTTAAATGATATAATTTTGTGTCATTTTAGATTGCAACCGTTGATTTTCGTTAATCGAAGGTTATAATTTAAAGGATATTACTAATTAATTAATAAGTTTGACCAAATAAATTATTACCGTTGGTTGATGAAAATCAAATATTAGTATCTAAAATAATATAGTTATATCCTTTAAAAGGACAAATATTTTTCTCTTTTTTATTACTTTTTTTAGTCTTTTCTATTACTGATGTAAGTTTAAATATATTTAGTTTTATCTTCTTTTTTCTGTCCTCATTGAATTTTCTTCTTTTTGATATAGATATATTTAAATTTTTTCTTCTATTTTTAATTTTTTTATTCTTTATGTAAATACTGTAAGTTTCTAACATATTTGATTTGATTTTTATTTTTTTCTCATCAATTTATTTTCTTCTATAAGCAGATTAGAAGGGTAAAATAGGTAAATTAGTTAAAAAAAATTGTGGACAATTAGTTAAGTTCTTAATAGTGTTAAGAATGAGTTTGGATGGAAAAAATCGTAGAAAGATAAATGATTAAAAAAAAGGCCTAAAAATTTATACAGTGAATGTAGATAAGTTATTTACATTCACTCTCAAAGTCAAAACGACGTCGTTTTAAGTTGAAAAATTAAGAAATTACAATAAGAAAGACTATTATAACCTTAAAATAAATAATAATTACAAAAATACATTGATTTGGTGAAGCGAAAAATACATTGAGTTGATACAAAAATAAATTGCATCGGGCCCCGGGTCTAGCGAAAAATGGGCTAGGGTCCTTGCCACAAGGAAAGGCGCTGCATCGGGCCCGGGGTGTAGTGAAAAGTGGGCTAGGGTCCTTGCTCCAAGGCAAGGCGCCAGGTCTTCACCCGGATTTGGTGAGAAGTATGCCAGGGTCCCAACACGCAGATGGGCGAGCGTGGCGGGAAAGCACAGCCCAGGGGTTAAGGATGAGATTAGGAAGCTGGAACATAGGAACCTTAACGGGTAAATTGAGGGAGTTGGCAGATGTTTTTGCTAGAAGGAAAGTGAATATTGTGTGTTTGCAAGAAACTAAGTGGGCTGGAGAAAAGGCCAAGGAAGTGGATGGAACTGGTTTCAAGTTATGGTACACAGGTACGAACAAGAGTCGAAATGGTGTTGGAATTATGATCGATAAAAGTTTCAGAGATAAAGTTGTGAACGTCAAAAGGAAAGGCGACAGGATTATTCTGGTTAAGCTTGTTGTGGGTGACTTAATCCTGAATATCCTCAGTGTGTATGCACCCCAAATTGGATTGCAACCAACTGATAAAAGCCAATTTTGGGAAGACTTGGAGGAGGTTTTGAAGGGAATACCTCGAGAGGAGAAGATTTTTGTAGGAGGAGATCTAAATGGTCATGTTGGTAAAAGCAATGGAGGTTTTGATAGAATCCATGGAGGTTTTGGCTATGGGACGAGAAACGAGACTGGAGAAGATATCTTGAATGTTGCACTAGCCTCCGATTTGATGTTAGTGAACACCTTTTTTCAAAAAAAGGAGTCACACCTAATCACTTTTCATAGTGGCCATAATCGTAGTCAGATTGATTTCTTTCTGGCTAGAAGAGAAGATAGAACTTCTTGTGTCGAATGTAAGGTCTACCCTGGAGAGTGTGTCGCTACGCAACATAAGCTGGTAGTCTTGGATGTTCGGTTCAACAAAGTACGTACAATGAAGAAGAGGGCTCAGAATCCAAGGATAAGGTGGTGGAAGCTTAAGGAGGGAAAAGAGAGAGAGTTCAATGATAGAATGTTGCACGAAGGACCTTGGGAGTTTGATGGAGGAGTAAATGCAACATGGAATGAGATGGCTAAGTGTATTCAAAATTTGGGAAGGAGGGTGTTGGGAGAAAGCAAAGGAAATGGATTTCATACAAAGGAAACATGGTGGTGGAATGGAGAGGTGCAAGAGGCAATTAAACATAAGAAGGAGTGCTTTAGATCTTTGGATAAAAGTCCCAGTGCAGAGAACCTGCAAAAGTTTAGATTGGCGAGAAAAAATGCAAAGAAAGCAGTGCGAGAAGCTAGAGGCAAGGTTTTCGACGAGTTGTATAAAAATCTTGGGAGCAAGGATGGTGAAAGAGGTATTTATAAACTTGCAAAGATAAGGGATAAGAAAAGTAAAGACCTCACCCAAGTTAGATGCATCAACGATGAAAATCAAAAACTTCTGGTGAGAGATGAAGATGTAAATGAAAGATGGTTGAAATACTTCAACAAGCTGTATAATGGGGATGGAGATACAAGCGAGGTGGACTTAGAGGACGCGTGTGATGATATGAATAGAAGATTTGTACGCAGAATTAATACACATGAAGTTAAGGAGGCTTTAAAGAGGATGAAGACTAATAAAGCCTTAGGGCCTGATGGTGTCCCTATTGAAGTGTGGAGAGGCCTGGGGGATGTGGCAATAAAATGGTTGACCAATCTTTTTAATAAGATTCCCCAGATGAATAAGATGCCTGATGTATGGAGGAAAAGTATGATTGTGCCTATCTACAAAACAAGGGAGATATACAGAATTGTTCAAACTATAGAGGCATTAAGCTAATGAGCCATACTATGAAGTTGTGGGAGAGGGTTATTGAACATCGCTTGAGGAGAGATACCAAGGTTTCTGTAAATCAATTTGGATTTATGCCAGGAAGATGTACCATGGAAGCAATTTTCTTGATGCGACAACTAATGGAAAGATACCGAGAAAAGAAAAAGGACTTGCATATGGTGTTCATAGACCTTGAGAAAGCATACGATAGGGTTCCAAGGAAAGTTTTATGGTGGGTCCTGGAGAAGAAAAAGGTTTCATTAAAGTATGTAAGGGCAATCAAGGATATGTATGATGGGGCTACTACATGTGTAAAAGCTTGTAACGGATCATCAAGTTATTTTCCTATCACGGTAGGTGTACACCAAGGGTCGGCTCTAAGTCCTTACCTCTTTGCCTTAGTTATGGATGAACTAACAAAAGATATTCAAGAGGAAGTGCCATGGTGTATGCTTTTTGCAGACGATATTGTGCTTATTGATGAGAGCAAGGAGGGTGTTAATAGAAAACTTGAATTGTGGAGAAGCACATTGAAATCCAGAGGATTCACATTAAGTCGAAGCAAGACTGAGTATCTGAAGTGTGAGTCTTCTCTGGTATGAGATGAGGACCAAGAACCTGTGCATCTAAATGGTCAAGAGGTACCAAAAAAAATGCTTTTAAATACTTGGGCTCCATTTTACAAAACAGTGGTGAGATTGATGAGGATGTAAATCACAGAATCAGAGCAGGGTGGATGAAATGGCGCAGTGCATCTGCATTTTTGTGTGACCGCAAAATCCCCCTGAAGTTAAAAGGAAGATTCTATAAAACGGCAGTAAGACCGACAATGCTATATGGAGCAGAATGCTGGCCAGCACATAGGCAACATGAGCATAAGATGGGAGTAGCAGAGATGAGGATGTTAAGGTGGATGTGTGGTTACACAAGGATGGATAAGATAAGAAATGAAGATATTCGACGAAAGGTCGGAGTAGTACCGGTAGCCGAGAAGATGAGAGAACATAGATTGAGGTGGTTTGGGCACGTGATGAGAAGACCCATGGATGCTCCTGTAAGAACAGAAGTTTGTTACCAAGAGCTCAACACAAAAAGAGGCAGAGGTAGGCCGAAGCTTACTTGGGGGAAAGTAGTAAAACAAGATTTAATGGAGTGAGATATAGATTGGCGGACAGTATGTCTTAGAACGGAATGGAGAAAAGCTATAAGTATGGTGGAGGGTTAGACCCGCTGTTATTCCTATGTTCCAGATGGTCCCTTTTTAGTCCTTTTCCCTTTCATTTCCCCCACTTCTTCTTGTCCCTTTCTTTTTTACTTTTATTTATTTATATATACATATATTGTTATTTTATTTTATCTTATTTTATATTTTTATTTTATTTGTTTATTTTTATTTATTTATTTTTGGCTTTTTTACTTTTTTACTTTTTTATTTTTTTATTTTATTTTTATTTTTTATTTTTATTTATTTTTAACTTTTTTTCAACCGTTTTGTATCTTTCATGTGGGTTCATCTACCACCGACCCTAATTAATTTGGGATAAAGGTGTTGTTGATGTTGAAAAATACATTGATTTCTATACCAAAACGACATTCGTTTTGGGTTATCTATATTGACTGCAAAAAAAAGCGAACCCTAAAATAAGGAATAAGTGATTCAAATCAAAAGCATAAGAAATTTTTTGAACTTTTCTCTAGAAAATAATATTTATTGTTTATTTCGATTATTAAAATATTTATAATTTTTCTTACCGAAAAAAAAATTATTTTTATTTAATGATTTTTAAATATATACCTTATAAATACAGGTCAAAGAAACATATTTTTTGAGGAAAGAATATATGAATTCACACACCGCGTTTTTTCCTTATTTATCTAGAGGTATGGGAAGAATATACGAATGTACGTCTATGCAACTATTATTATTCTTAATAAAAAGAGTAAATACTTTTTTTTTGTTCGTGACAATATTTACGAAGTTCTTTTAGTCCCCAACAATAAAAAAAGTTTATTTTAGTCTTTAATTTTAGAAAAATAGTGTCACGTTAGTCTTTCTGTTAGTTGAGCTATGACGACGTCACTAACGTTTTTACGACGTGTACCGTTAAGTAGCTGACTAACATTTCACGTGGGACCAAAAACGATATCGTTGAGATACCTTCGTTTTTTTTTTTTCCCTCTTCTCTCCCACTTGAAGTTTATCCGGAGATTACAACGCTAAGACCTTCATCCTTCATCCTTCATCCTCCTCTCCTAAGCACGTTTGGGGAGTCCACTAAGCACGTTCCACCTTCATCCTCCTCCTTACCTTGTTGTTTCAAGTACCTTGATGGTCGCCAGAGAATTTGAGAATTCTTCTGACTATTTCTTGAGTTGATTCGACAATTCCTCCTGCTCAACTTTGTCACGTGTAAGAGCATCTAGATCAGCTTCAAATCCTTGGGCTTGTTTCTCCAGTTCCTCCTCTAATTTGCTGATTTGGGTTACAAGCATCCAGATCCTGCACAGCAAGAACTAGTTCAGAGTTTGATTCTTGTGTCTTCTTTAACTGTAATCGAAGATTTGCATTCAGCTCTTTCTCATAATTCAATTCTTGTCTGATTTCTTCAACAAGGGTACGAAGATCCCCACTTTCCAATTGTGACCTGTTACTCACTTTGGCCTCATCCATTCGCTTGTGAAAAGTCCTGTGACTGTCACATTCTGTCTTGAGTGCATCTCTTTCCTCTTTCATGCTAATGATTTCCTTTGAGAGCTCTTGTCCTCTTTTGCTTTCCTTTACAATTTGCTTCCAAGTCAGACACATTCACCTGCCTAGCCAAAGCTGCAAGTTCAGCCTTGAGTCTTTCAATCTCCATATCAGATGCCTGATTGGATCTTTCCCTAGGGCGCTAATGCTGTTGGGTTCAACTATGAACGCCAATGTGGCATTTGAACTATCTGAAAGAATCCCACACTTGGGGCTAAGGATGAAGGAACATAGTCACCGTGCAAAGGTGTTTGCAACCAGGCTCAAAAACTTAGGATTCAAGGTTATCTACCCTGGTCTTGAAGACCATCCACATCATGATTTGTTGAAATCCATGCACAACAAGGATTATGGGTACGGTGGACTTTTTTGCATTGACATGGAAACTGAAGAGAGGGCTAACTCGTTGATGAACCACTTACAGTTATGGACTAGAACGAGGCCCATGGTCAGTGAGGCCCATGATCAGCACAGGTCCACATGTAAGTATTATAAATAGGAGCTAAATGCCACAGGTATGACCTAATCTATTTTTACATATTTACGCAGCCTAAATAGTACACACACTTTTCCCAAGGCTAAGGCCATCAGATAGTGTGTGATCTGTTGTCCTTAAGATACCTAACTCATAGGTATCTAGAGAAGACACATGAATCATAGATCAATCATCCAATCCTAATTGGACACATCTGCCTAGGGCAGAACAAGAACCATGGACAATTTGGTTTTATGGCTGTTAGCTTGGGCTACTATGAGACCCTCATGTCTTGTTCTGGAAGTAGCACCAGCAGTGAGTTGAGTTCTGAGGAAAAATTCCTTGCTGGAATCTCACCAGGTCTAATAGGAATGTCAATAGGATACATAGGGACGTTGGAGCAGAAGTGGAGTCAGTTGGAAAAGGCACTCACTAGACTTCAGGAATATGGTTTAACCAACAAGAATTGAATCGCTTTTGTAATCCTACTTCTTGTAATGCTCGCTCCTGTTCATGCATATATCTATAAATACTGTTTATCTTCGAATGTAATCTCAGTACTCAATCTGTATGTAGTGTGTGCTGTATATTAAGGTCACTGAAATAAAAATGGAAAATGTAATCTCTGTACTCAATCTTAGTTGCTGCAAAATGAATCTTGCTTCGTGCATTCATTAATCTGGAATGCATTATATCTAGCCTTGAACAACCACGGCTTCTATAGATTGTTTACATAGAGGGATGGTTCAGATGGAGTTTTTATATATCCATTTTGCAAGAAATAATCACCAGTCTTCTTGTTCCACACTCTTTAGTAATTGTTTAAAACCATAAAGAGCTTTGTATAGCTTGTAAATTTTTCTTCTTCTTTTTGCTTCAAAACCTTTATATTGTTTAATCATGAAAACATGATAGTAAGTTATACAAAGACAAACAAAATATTAAAAAAAATAAAAATTATAGACTGGGATATATATATAAACGAGCAAAAATAATCCCTAGCCCCAATGAGTGAAACCATACTTCAGAAGAATCACTTTTAGTGCTTTCATTTGTATCACCATTGCTTAAATAGGTCCTCAGGCTCCTATCATGGGCTTTTAGTTTGGCATCTTCACATTCCTCTTCTTCTCTGCAAATGTTATGTGACAAGAAACCCTTCATAACAAACAACCGAATTTGAGGCAAACTCTACAACCGGTGGAAACGTGGTAGAGAAATCCTGCTAAACCAGATTTATTTATAACCAGCAACGGAGGACATGAAGGAACTGCTGGAGATATCTCCGGCGCCGGTGCCGGCGTTGCAGAGAAGAACTTGCATTGGAGAGAAGAACTTGCAATGCTAGGTTCAAGGTTTCAGCTTTTGGTGCTGCAAGTGGAAGAACTTGCATTGAAGAGAAGAAGAGGGAAAAAAAAAATTGAAGGTAGCTCAACCACTCGTTTTTGGTCCTACGTGGATTGTGAGTCAGCTACTTAACGATACACTCAGACTTGTTAATGACGTCGTCATAGCTCAACTAAAATTAAGGACCAAAATGAGACTTTTTATTGTTGGGGACCAAAATGGGCTTCGTGAATATTCTCAGGGACGAAAAGGACTCTAATAAAAATATGAGAAAAATGTTTCTGCAGTTATTGTAGATAAATTATCTGTATTTATTCCCAAAACGACGTCGTTTTGGTATTGAAATCTTAAAAAGTTATAAATATAAAGACTATTATAATTCTGAATAAATTAAAATTACAAAAATACCATAATTTTTGTCTCAAACGACGTCGTATGAGACTTACTGCAGATAACTTATCTGCACTAACTACAGAAAAAACGAACCCTAAAAATATTGAAAAAGCCCTTATTCATTAGCTTATTATTCTTTACAAAACATTAGTGCCATGCTTACTTAAGAAAATTGATTATAGATTTTAACAAAAAAATCATGACGATATATTTTAAATAAATAGTATTTTAATATTTATATCATTTGAGTTTTTCTGATAAAATATTCATATATACTATAAAATAAATTTAAAATATCCCTCTTTATTTTGAAGGTATGAAACTGTAACATGTTTGTTTATTTTTTGTTTTAAAGACAAAAGTAGATTATTCAGCACAATTTGCGGAAGCTTAAAAGGAAGCATCCTTAAATTGCAATTTTTTAGGGTCAAAAAATAACCTGCAAGTATCATTACAAAAAGAGAGAAATAATCTTTATTTTTAAATTTCTTTACTTAAAAAGTGAAACAAAAGATGATAGGAAAAAAAAATCACCAAATAAAGTTTCGTCGTTTTGCACCGAGGGAATATAATAAAATTTTCTGTTCGTTTTAAAAAAAAAATATAGAAAGAAGTGTTTGTCATTTCAAATGACATAAAGTTATGTCATTTTAAAAGAGATAGACACAAAATAAAAAAATTTAATTTAAAATTTAAATTAAGAAAAAACCACCTAATTTTTCTTTCATGATTTTTATTTTTTGTGTCTATCTCTCTTCTAAAATAATATAACTTACATCATTTAAAATCACAAACACCAAACCAAACCAAAAAATATATAGCTCCTTTTGAATGGAAAATTGTTTTCGTTTTCATTCCTAGTTTATTCAATATTTGAAAAAGTAAAATCGTATATGGTAAGAATTTTTAATTTGAATAAACTCACAATTTCTCAGTCTACAGATTTAAATATTATCACATTAGCCTTTTTTATAAAAAAATATATATCTAATGTAATAATGTTTTTAATTTTTAATAAATTAATATAAAAATTATTCTGATTAAAAACTAATATGATAATCCTTCGCATTATTATTTTTTTATTTAAAAGATTAATATGGATATTTAATACATTTTTATTTGACAGGAGTGGCAAAGAGAGGAAAAAGGCAAATGTATAAGAGTCTTCCACGCAACAAAGCCAGTGAGTGGCGGTGATTGTAGTTAAAGACCCCACCTTCCGTTTTGTCGTTAACACCGAAATTGAAGAAAATATCATACCGCTAAATTTGAAACTCAGAAGCAACAACAACCTAGTACCTCTCTATTATTCCTGTTCTGCTTCTGGCCACGTATATAGCAACATTCAACTTTCAACCTTCTTCAATTTTGAAATCTCTTGTTCAGTCTGGTTTTTGGTTACTAGGCAAATGATAAAGTCTGGTTCAATTTAGAAACCTGAGGTTTGTTGCTAAGGTTTACTAAGTCTGTTTTGATTCTAGTTGCTTTAAATTGCTCAACAAATTTGTTCAAGTCTAAATGAATATCACTTGCTGTATTGATTTTATACAATATTATTGTCTTTCGTTTTTCCAAATGATTATTAATTGCTACTGGTCATTGATATTCTTTTATGAAATAACTGATAATAACTCTAAGCTTAATTAACTGGCCATATGATTTGCTTTTACTTATTTATGTTTGATATATGGGACAAATTATCTGATATGGAATTCATCTCCTTTTAGGTTTGTTGTTTGGATATTCCAAATTATGTTCATTGAATTTCTCAGTAGAGTTTACAACTGACTCAGCTTTTGTCATTTCTTTTTCTTACTTTTTATTCTGATGTTTCTTTTAAGGTATCTTCATCTTAGACGGCAGTAACAATGGCTTTGCATGGTTGTTATTGTCACCATATGAACTTGACAAACCAAAGAAGAACGCTAGACAATCTCAGTTTTTCAGGCTCAATTTCAGTTCATAAATTGTCAAAGAATAAAAGGACAACATGTGATCCATCACGGAATAATCGATTTCATAGGTTCCTCGTGGAAATGAGACAGACAGAATTGCCTGCTTCGAAGTATGGTACAAATGGTAAAGCTGTTAAAATGGTACCGGCAAATGAGCTAGTGAAAAGAAAGACAATGTCAGCGAATAAGGTGGAGACAGTGAATGGTTCAACTTCAAAGCAAGCTGTTAATGGAGCAAGTCTAGTAAGAAGAGATTCCACCCCAGCTTCTACAAAGACAGTGAAATCTAGAACCTCTAAAGAACTTCCCCCGTTGGAGGAGCTAAAAGTTTTACCCTCAGATGAAGGTTTCAGTTGGGCCAATGAAAATTACAATTCCTGGCAGAGGACTATTGATATTTGGTCTTTTGTTATTTCTTTACGTATTCGGGTTCTATTGGACAATGCAAAATGGGCATATGTGGGAGGCCTCACAGAAGAAAAGCAAGTAGGTTCTGAAAGTTCTTTTGTTGGCAAAAACACTCTCTTTCATGATGACTTTTTATCTCTGCTGGTAGAAAGCCTCTTAAAGTTTTCTGCAGCACTCAGAATTCAATTCTCATGTTGTGACTCAATTAGTGGTGGATACCATATTTATTAAAAAAAAAAAAAAACTTTACACGCAAATCGAAGGGTCACTAACATGAGAGTTGAATTCTCATGAAATATGAGAAAAAGTTTTCCCTTAATTTAATTTGTTAAGTTTCTTGTGTTTGTGCTTTTCTGACCTGAATTGTTTTAACATTTTATTCAGAAGAACAGAAGGAAGAAAACTGCCTCATGGCTAAGGGAGAGTGTATTACAGCTTGGTCCAACGTTCATTAAACTTGGACAGTTATCATCAACAAGGTCGGATCTATTTCCCCGTGAATTTGTGGATGAGCTCGCAAAATTGCAGGTATTTTTTTTTGCAGATTTCAATTTTTCAATATTTTCAGGCTCTTCATTGGAGAGATTCCTTAACATAGAATGCTAAATTTTGATGTCAGATTTTATATGTTAATCTAAGTAATTCGTAATGTAACATTTTTCAGGACAAGGTTCCTGCTTTCTCTCCAAAGAAAGCAAGAGGCTTCATTGAGAGTGAATTGGGAGCTCCCATTAACATATTATATAAGGAGTTTGAAGATAGGCCAATTGCTGCTGCTAGTCTTGGTCAGGTGTTTGAATCATGCCCTAGCAATTCATTATATTTTTTTGCACTGAATCTTTACCTACTGTCCTTCACTTCTATTGTTAGAAACTTGTGGGTTTATTCGAAAAGTGAAATTTGATAAATATAACACAAAGTGAGATGTAGCATAATAATAGCTTAATGCCTTTCTCTATTGCTTACTCCATCATTAACACACACTTGAACGTTTCTCGCTTCTTCTTGTAATTATGCTAATGATCTTAATGTATAGATATTAACTACTAATGGTCTTAATGTATGAACATCAATTTTGGGGAACCCTGCTTGTAGGTTCATCGTGCTATTCTGCATAATGGAGAGAAAGTAGTTGTCAAAGTTCAAAGGCCTGGTCTGAAGAAGCTTTTTGACATTGATTTGCGTAAGTTGTGCTCATTTTGTTTGTGCTATTAGCAACACCTTGTGATTTGGATTAAGTAGATTTGGCCAACTGCCAAGTACTAATGAATCCAAGAGCCTAGATTGTTAGGTGCAAGCTTAGGAAGAGGTTTTACTTTAAACACCTCAACATAGGAATATGGGCTTGAAGCATGGTGAGGCAAGGATGAAACCTCACCATTTGGTACCAGAGAGTTTGATTCCATTTGCTGCCACTCTCCCCCTGTGTATTTTTCCACAGACTGCTTTATTTCTTGAAACTCTAATCGAAAGAAGGGTATTTATGTATAGCAGCATAGAGTTTTAAGACTACTAATTTTGGTGAATTGTTCTGTTTGTTACTCTCACAAGTTTGCTTGTTCTGTCCAGGAAACTTAAAGTTGATTGCAGAGTATTTTCAGAGAAGTGAAGCTCTAGGTGGTCCAACTAGAGACTGGATCGGAATATATGAAGAATGTGCAACGTAAGTGATAAGAATGGAAGTAAATCGTTAACGAGATTTCATGAAGTATAACTAAAGCATATTGTAAATTATGTTGCTACCATTTCACCTTCTCTTCATTACATTATTTTCTAATGCCTTATATAATTTATATTGTATTGCACATGCTTCTTTGCAGTATTTTGTATCAAGAAATTGATTACATAAATGAAGGAAAGAATGCTGACAGGTTCCGCCGAGATTTTAGAAACATAAAGTGGGTTCGAGTACCTGTATGTTTCTTGGTGCAACACTACAAGCCTATTGTGTAGTCTATATAAATTTCCAAAGTCTAATGAAATTTTTTAATTTTGACCACATCTTCTTTTCCTCCACTGTAGCTGGTGTATTGGGATTATACTGCAACAAAGGCGTTGACCTTGGAGTATGTACCAGGTTTTCATCTTCACTAGTGCATATGCCGTGTTTCTCCTTTTTTTTCCTGTACAAGTGGGAGCCAATAATTTTCTTTCTTCAAAGTGATATGTTATATGGCATTATGCCAGAGAACTTTTGTTTTTTTAACTGCTCTTTACTTTGATTTCACTACTGGGATAGGTATCAAAATAAATCAGGTGGATACATTAACTTCGAGTGGTTATGATATATTACGGATCTCATCACGTGCTATTGAAGCGTACTTGATTCAGGTGCACGACCTTGTTTCTCTCCAAAACTCGATCTGATAGTAATACCTGGTGTTGAAACCCAAAAAAAAAAAAAAGAAGAAGAAGAAGAAATTGTCACTTGATGATAGATGTTAGTAAAAAAAAAAATTGGAGTTAATAAATTATCAATTATTTTTTCTTTGGTCTTACAGATATTGAGAACAGGTTTCTTTCATGCTGATCCTCATCCTGGAAATCTTGCTATTGATGTGGATGAAGCAATTATTTATTATGACTTTGGCATGATGGGGGAGATCAAATCTTTTACCCGAGAGAGACTACTTGAACTTTTCTATGCTGTTTATGAAAAGGATGCAAAGAAGGTCTTGATTTCTCCTACCCCTGGATCATTTAAATTTAGGACATTGTCTTTTACTAACAAGAAATCATAACCTGATATCATGATAAGCTATATTGATAAGTGTGTAATCGATATCCATTTTTTATAGCTGATTTTGCCTCAATTAACTCGAGCAAACAAAATGACAATATGGCTTTCAGTACAATTACAATTGCAAATTTCTGTCCAGCTAACCAAAATTTATCTTCAGAAAATGGGAATTTAATGTTGCTCAGAACTTGAACTGATCAACTTCAGGACCCCTCTTTCTCATTTATTTAAACTTACAAGAAACAATGATGCAGGTTATGCAATGCCTTATAGACCTTGGAGCACTCCAACCTACTGGGGACCTGTCAGCGGTAAGAATGTGATCTACCTGTTTCTCTACTACTCTTATATAAGATGGTTAGTTAAAAGTTCAAATATTATGTTTTGTGTCATGAGTTTATAAATGACTAAATTCGGCTTCCAGGTAAGGAGATCTGTACAGTATTTCTTGGACAATCTGCTAAGCCAGACACCAGATCAGCAGCAGACCTTTTCTGCAATTGGGGAGGTATGTGAGCATAGTTATATTGAATCAATGAATTCTTAGCTGCTTTCATGATATTTTGGGTGATTGTTTCATTGTGACTGATGATAAGCTGAAGATGGAAAATCATTGTTTTTACTTGGTTATTCAAAATTATATAGAGAATCTATAGTCTACAATTTATTATTTTGAGTGCTTTCTGTGGTAGGATTTATTTGCAATAGCACAAGACCAGCCATTCCGTTTTCCATCCACCTTCACCTTTGTTCTCAGGGCGTTTTCAACACTTGAAGGTGTGCATCTTCCATTTCCTCCTGCTCTCCCTCTTCTGATTGTCATTCTTACAGAAATTTTAAACATGGTCCAATGTGTATAATTAATTTCACATTAGTATGCGCATTATAAGATGGTAACCCCTTCCTTTACTGGAAAAGTTTAACCTATTTAGTGGATCAATAGCAAAAGGATATTTTTTAATCAGTGCTTTTTATTTCTTCATTATCTATTATTTAATTGTTTTTACTTTTTTATTTTTCTGACAGGCATAAGTTACACACTCAATCCAGATTTTTCCTTTGCTAAGGTTGCTGCACCCTATGCGCAGGTTCAGACTTCTGGTTGTCCATGAATGATTATTGTTCTCATACTGCATTAAAATACAATGTTCTGCTCATACTCTTTACTACGTTACAGGAACTTCTAGATATAAGGCAAAAGCAACGCACTGGACCACAACTCGTGGAGGAAATAAGGAAGCAAGCAGATGATGTACCACATCTAACCTGAACTACCATTTTAGCTTTTTGTTCCATTGATGTCTTTTTATAGTGAAAATGTATCCTCTCATGTATGATTTCACATAACCAGATCACGTGAAAGGTTATCTTCGGTTAAAAACCTTTTACATAATCTGATCATGTGAAATTATACATGAGAGGATTCATTTTTCTTGGACAATAGAAAAATCTCTTGTGATGTGAAGCATTTTCTATGGCGTTATGCATCCACTTAAATTGATAACGCTTGTGGAATATTTTTAGGCGAGAACCTATACCATGTCAATGCCATACAGAGTTCAAAGAATAGAAGAGTTCACAAAGCAACTTGAGGCAGGGGATCTAAAACTACGAGTCCGAGTGCTCGAGGTCAGTTTGTTTATTTTTCTTCACATAGTATATGCCGTATAATCAAGTGTTTTTCTTCACATAATCATTCTTTAACTTACTTTTTTTATTTGAAACTATTTAACTTGATTTGCTAGTCTGAAAGAGCTGCTCGGAAAGCAACAATTTTACAAATGGCTACTATGTACACGGTATTAGGAGGAACCTTGCTAAATCTTGGCTTCACTTTGAGTAGCCAAGGCAATGAAGCTATAGCGAATGGATCTTTCGTTGGTGCAGGTGACTTTTATATTTCAAAGCTTTTCTCAAGTTATTGTGCAACCATGTGCAAGTTTATTCTTGTGGCTGATAGGTGCAGCTTTGCAATATGCAGGTCTTTTTATGACACTATTTGTCAGGTCCATGCAAAGGGTAAAGAAGCTTGATAAGTTTGAGAAAATGATATAATTGGTTACCAAAAAATTCAATTCTTTCAAACCTATACAAAGTTGTGTTGATCTCCATTTTCTTACTTGTAAACGTTCAATTTTTTTACGCAAGCATAACAAGCTATACGAGTTATACAGAAACAGGATTGGAGGCAGATGAAACTACTATACATTTTATGGCTTCAAAATAAAGAAAATATCATAGTTTGTAAGTAGAAAAGCATATTGTACGCCGTGAGCCTACCTACACTTGCTTACAAATTCTCGGTTGAGAAACACTGTCTGATAAAGCATCTCTTTCTCATCCTCGTTTTAACCTCAATCTCCCTGGTTCCCTAGTACGGATACGTAAGGAACGAAATTAGAAAAACGAAGAGAAATTGGAGATAGAGAAGACTTTAGAGAGAGAGATGGGGGGTGGGGGAGAGAATTAAAGAGATTACATTGAGACATTAAGGAAGAGACTTAAATTTGTTGAGAAATATAGTCCCACATTGGTATTGGTTGTACGGGCAATTAATGTGAAATTTATAAGGTCTTACCCTTTGAGCTAGCTTCTGGGGAGGTGACCTCAAGGTTCTTAACATGGTATCAGAACGTTCGAAATCTCACCGCCTCCCACTTTCTTTGTAGTGGACCTCTCACTTTCTTTGTAGTGGAATTAGTCCCACATTGATTGTATGAGCTACTAATGTGAGGTTTATAAGGCCTTCAAAATTATTTTCCACCACTTCTTTTTTTGTAGGTGTTCAATGATTTTAATTTCAAATAATTAAGATAAAGATAAACTAATTTAATGACAAACTATTAGGGTAAGGATAAACTTGTGTGCAACCTTTTATTGCCCTTCAAAACAATGTAGTCCTCGAGTTTGAGGGGTGTGCCTCCGCCATGATCAAAGATGAATTGTTGTGTCTTCGTCACGCATTTGGCAGATACCAAATGGAGTCACTGTGAACACATAATTTTTCCCAAAAGGAGAAAAAAAAAATCTACTGGGATTGAAATAGGGCTGAGTGGGTTCGGATTCAGGGTAGGTGAGTCTCACAGACCCAACCAAATACGGTATGGTCCAATTATGTACTCGGTTGATTCAAAGAAAAATAATTATTTTCTATAAATAAATGATAAAGATTATTGCCAATTAATAAAAATAATAATTCCCTCGTTCATGCGCAAGGAATAAGCTAAACATTATTCTTCTTACAATCCACCGTCCGTTGTGTAGGATTTACACGATTAGGGTGATTTAAACAATTAAAAAATGTTTTTGCCTTGACACATTTTTGTCCAATTTCCATAGTTGAGTAGTTGGTGGCGCAGACGCTTCACGTGTTGGTGACTTGGTGTTGCTGTATATGAAAAATTAAAAACAATTAGTGTGCATCGCATGCAACCCATCCTACATTTAATTATGTCATTTGTCTTTTTGCAATTTACCCCCACACAAAACCAGTTGGCCTTGCTCTCCACCGTCTGTTTGTACATAAAATTACAAACAATTTAGATAATAAAAAGTGCAAAACATTATCAACCTTATAGAATACCTATTAAATTGAAATGAATATAATTATTTCAGCCAAAAAAATGAAAAGAAATAGAATAAATTTTTATAGGATTTGATATTTATTCTTTTAAAGAACGTAGAATTGTGTCATTTTAAATGAAAGAAAAAAAATAAACAACAAAAATTATGAAAAAAAGTGGGTGAATAGTGGGTGATTTTTTAAATTTAAATTTTAAATAAAAAATTTATTTTTAACTAAAATAACCTTTTGTAAAAAGATAAATATTTTTTCATTTTTATAAAGGATTTGATTTTTCTATAGCAAGGTTAGAAACAAAAAAGGGATCCACTAATTTTTTTTTTAAAAAAAAAATTATCAGAATTCAACTCATATCCTATTAAATATGTGTCTCCGGTGCGCAAATTGTCTTCAGGAAGTGGCAGAAATGATTTTGCCTTTTATAAATGGGTGCATATGTTGTAGGATAGTACGAGAGAAAAAAAGTAGAGATAAGTTAAATGTGGGTCCCACATTTTAAATTAAAAAAGAAAAAAAAATTAATTGGCACGGAAAACGAATTTGTGTAGGAAAAATTTCATTATCTCATGTAGAAGGAGATAATGATTTCCCTTTATAAATATCATTCCGTACAAAAACTTTGGAAACTCAGAAATGTTTGATGTTGATTCCGTTTAACAAATTGAAGGATTCCGTTGCCTTAAAAGAAGGGTGCGTGTAACTCGTGGTTTGTCCCACCTGGCAATACATAAACGGTCAGATCAGACATGCTTCTTCACTCTTCACTCTTCACCCTTCCCTCGCTTTCTCTTTCTCTTTCTCTTTGCCTCTTCAACAATTAAACACCGCTAAGGTAACCGTCTCTCTCTCTCTCTCTCTCTCTCATCGACTGTTCCTCGTAAGCTTCTTAGCTCAAATTACATCAGATCTGTATTTCGCTTGAGACGACATGAATATGATATTTGTTGCATTAATAGTTATCTGTTTGATCATTTATTATTTCTATTTCTCTGTTAGATCTTTATTCTTTCCTTATTTATCTGATCGTCACTTGTCGTATTGCCTGCTCATTGCATCTTGTTTTCTTACATAGAAAAATAAGACAACTCACAAGTATAAAGTATTGTATTATTCTCTTAATTATGTGAGAAAGAACGAAGGAGGAAGAGACAACAATCTCACACTGATTTTTTTATTTTTTTATTTTGAATTTCTGAATGACTAAATATTTTTTAAGATCAAATAGCGCTATCGTTTTATTCTGCCTCCATATGTTTTGGCTTTGTTTGAGTAGAGGTAGAAGAATATGTAGTTAATGGAAAATACTTGATAGCCATAATTTTTTGAATTGAAATTGTTATTAACCGTTGGATGGAAAAGTAATCTTCGCCACTTTGACTTATCAAACAACCACATTTGAGTTTTTACAAATTGTAGTTAAATTCTATTAATAACACTATTTGTAGTTTGTGTTTTTGGATTGAGGACTTTCTACTTTCTGGTTCATAATTCAACAAATTTACAGTATATCTATTCTTTTCTGTTGGATTTCTTAACTATATATTTTTTGGTTTGGTTTTTCCTAACTAATAATATGCCAAAAAAGGAAAGGAAGACTAGGTAAAAAAAAGTTGTGATAGTTTTGTTGCACTTCCAATAAATTTGATACATTCTCACATTGTTCCTCCCATTTTATTGAAGAAATTGGACTAATACAACATTGTGTAGTGTCAACGTTGTGTAGTGTAAGACAAGAATCCCGAATGTTAAATGTATGCCCGTGTATGTGAGGCCAATGATAACTATTGCTGTTTCGTATAATCACTCATACATGAAGTTAGTTCTCTGAGATTATATGTGTTACTTGTTAATTAAATCTTCTTACGTCCATATTTTTTGTTTTGGATTACAGATTCCATTTTCATCTATCAATGGCTCCGGTAGCAGAAGCATCTTCAGATTCTATAAAGCCTAGAGGTCATTCATCAAACTTTTTAGCTTACATATATACACTATAAAGTACATTGGAGTATTGCTGTGTTTATATAGCCTTTATTTGATTCATTTAATCTTTTAGAGTATTATTTGGTATAGTTGTTCATTTCATCCATCTGGCACAATTATAAAGAAGAAAAAAAATGAAACATTGATTTTCTTATCTTCCAAGCTCTCAAATACTGGACGCCTTTTGGTTTAGTTGATCTGATCTGTTTGTTTTCTATAGATGTTTGCATTGTCGGCGTTGCCCGTACACCAATGGGTGGGTTTCTTGGTACTCTGTCTTCTTTATCTGCAACCAAGCTAGGCTCTATAGCTATTCAAGGTAACTAAGGAAATCTGTATCAGGGCTTATTGCATTGCATTTGAAACTTATTGAAGATATGTTCACATCTTTTTTCATTGATATGTAGCTGCTCTTAAAAGGGCCAATGTTGATCCATCGCTTGTGGAAGAAGTATATTTTGGGAATGTTCTTAGTGCTAATTTGGGGCAAGCTCCTGCCAGACAAGCTGCTCTAGGTGCAGGACTACCCAACTCAGTAGTCTGCACTACTGTTAACAAAGTTTGTGCATCGGGAATGAAGGGTGTGTAATTTTTAATAAAAGGAATTCCATTTCTTTCTTTGTAAGTTATAATAAAAAGAATTCTAACTTCTTCTGGTTATTGCAGCGACAATGCTTGCGGCACAGAGTATTCAGTTAGGCATAAATGATGTTGTTGTGGCTGGTGGTTTGGAAAGCATGTCTAATGTACCTAAGTACCTGGCAGAAGCAAGGTCAACAATGCCTTTTATTTGACATATTTTTTAAGCTTAGTTCCTGTGTTCAAAGAAACTGATTCAATACTAAAAGTTCAGGAAAGGATCCCGCCTTGGACATGATTCACTTGTCGATGGGATGTTGAAAGATGGTTTGTGGGATGTCTATAAGGACGTTGGCATGGGAGTGTGTGCCGAACTGTGTGCTGATAACCATGCAATATCAAGAGAAGACCAGGTATTTTAGGATTAATTTCTGTTCAGAAATGTTTTGGCAGGATCATTATAAAAGATTTTTGCTGATATCTCTGTCTTTTCCACAGGATAACTACGCGATTCAGAGTTTTGAACGTGCGAATGCTGCCCAAGAAAGTGGTGCCTTTACATGGGAAATTGTTCCAGTTGAAGTCTCTGGTGGAAGGGGAAAACCATCTACAGTTGTTGATAAGGATGAAGGCCCAGGAAAGGTAATCATCCAAAGAACTTGAACCATGGTAATACTTGTTCTTGTATAGATGTGGTGAGCCTATGAAGTACACGTCTACAGCCTCTTATCCATATTAAGTAATCTTTCTTAGTTTCCTGAGTATTAAAAATTTGTTAAAAGATTACAGGTTTTCTAGGCATACGAATATAGATATTGCATGATATCTTTTGTAAATACCTCCATGTCTGTTAACCTGAGAAATCAATCAGGAGTGGGGATTGGAGTTTGTAATTTTTTCTCTTCACATAAAGAACATTTATATCTTTGGTACTTCTAGTTGCAAATCTAGTAAGTTACCTATAATCATTAATTTTGTCGGTACGTGTGCATTTAAATATAAACTAATATATTGTTATACTTTTCCTTTTGCTATGCCAGTTTGATGCTGGCAAGTTACGCAAACTCCGACCAAGTTTCAAGGAGAATGGAGGTTCTGTTACTGCTGGCAATGCTTCCAGCATAAGGTTAATATATTGTCAGAATTTATTCAACTTTTCCCTGTTTGTATTTGGATGCTCTTGTTAAATTTTTTTTTATAAAATACATGGTTTTCAGTACCATTCATTGGACTGATTCAATTATAACTTATCATTTAGACAAGAGTGATTTAGTGGGGAAAAGAAGCCAACCAGGAATTGATTTAGTGATATTGAATTGGAGGAGTTGGTCAATTTGAGTGATGGGTCAATCATACATTTTGCAAGCAATATTTAGATAGACATATGGGGGAGTATAGTTAGGTATCCCAACTTGTAAGTCTTCCACTCATACTTGCAAGCATAGATAGCTGAATGTCATCAGGCAAACAATTTTTTGCCTATATCATCTTTGAGCCACAAGTGATTCAGTGAATTTACAGTTTGAACCTTGAAGTCAATTACAAAGTTATATTCATGACTTATTAATGTATTATATGCTTCCTTAAGTTTTCACTCTGCTAAATCTTGAGTTTTCTTTAGTTTAGGCACTCAAATGCTTCTAACTGACATTATATTTCCTGTAAGTCTTAGTTTGGCACGAGCCCTGGTTTTTAATAAAATTGAAAATGCTCTTGCTGACAGCGATGGAGCTGCTGCATTAGTTTTGGTGAGTGGAGAAAAGGCACTGAAGCTTGGGCTTCAAGTTATTGCAAAAGTGACTGGGTATGCTGATGCTGCTAAGGTACATACGATATAATTTAAATATAAAATACACCTTTAGGCCATGAAAAATAAGAAATGGAAAAAACCATATTGGTATTCACATTATTTGTAGGGTTGAGTATATTACTATTATGACTTCATGCTCATTTGAGGTTGACCTGTACAGGAACCAGAGTTATTTACTACAGCTCCTGCCCTTGCCATTCCCAAAGCTATTGCCCACGCAGGGTTGGAAGCTTCACAAATTGATTTTTATGAAATAAATGAAGCCTTTTCGGTAGGCTTTCAGGCCAAACATTTAATTGTAGTAGTTTGTCAATTTATGACCGCATGAATTTTAATTCTTCACTCTGCTTTCTTTAGGTTGTGGCTCTTGCAAATCAGAAACTTCTTGAACTTAACCCGGTAAGTTTTGTCCCTTGTCATGTGAAACTTGTAATTCTTTTATGTCTGTGTAGTAAACTATTTCCGATAGAGTGTCTTGAGGACTGCATGCTGTTGTAGGCCCCCTTCCCCTCTTTGCAGTGTGAAACATGTTAAATTTGTCTATAATCCACAAATTGTCTTCATGGTGACCATTAATGGCTCTAAACTTCCATTTATTTCTTTTACTCAAGTAACTATTATTCTGCAGGAAAAAGTAAATGTACATGGTGGAGCTGTAGCATTGGGACATCCTCTTGGTTGCAGTGGCGCTCGTATCCTGGTGACACTTTTGGGGGTATGTTTGTTTCAGTTGATAACTTTGATTATTTTGCAATCCACCTTTTTTGTCTTTGAAGAAAAAATGTCTTTTTTAGTGCTTAGCTCTTAAATTCTTTGTTTAATTATTTAAACTTGTTATGTTCAATTACTCAAAAGAGTTAATAATTTGAAAATACATGTAATTACCTGGTGCTATAAAGCTTCCCGCGGTCTCTAGGTCACATGTCACATGGCAACAACAACACCAACCGTTGTGCCAAGGCATCAATAATAGTAATGTAATTATTTTACTATTTTATCATTTCTGTTTTATTTATTTTTAAATGAATTATTTTGATAATCAAGTGAGAGGAGTGGTTTGTTATGAGAGTAAGAGGAGCAAATCTTGACTATTAGATCTTACATGAATGGTCAATATTAGAACATAAAGGCATATGATTTTTTTAAGTGATCATATGATATTTAAGTAACTTTTTATCCTAATTCCTAACTGTTCATGTACAATATCTTTCTTCTATCATATTGGATGGTGGAGGGTTAGACCCGTTGTTATTCCTATGTTTCAGATGGTCCCTTTTTTAGTCCTTTTTCCTCTTCATCTCCCCCCTCTCTTCTTTTTCCCTTCTTTTATCACTTTTATATTTATATTTATATATATATATATATATATAGGGGAAAGTTACTATTTTATTTATTTATTTTTATTTTTATTTTTATCTTTTTTCAACCTTTCGTATTTTTTATTTGGGTTCATCTACCACCGATCCCAATTCATTTGGAATAAAGGTGTTGTTGATGTTGATGTTGATCATATTGGATGTTCTTTTTTGATCGGTTAGTCTAATAGTCACTGCTTGCAGGTACTGAGGCAGAAAAATGGGAAATACGGAGTTGGTGGCGTTTGCAATGGAGGAGGCGGTGCATCTGCACTTGTTGTGGAACTTCTGTAAGCGTTTTTCATGTTCGATAGATGTCCTTTTAGAACCAGTTTGTGCCAAGTTCGAAAAACTCCGTCTCCCTCTTTTTAGCAAGTGCACATGCAAGTTCCAAATTTATTACGATGGCAAAAAGGAAAGAGTGGAGAGAAATTTGCCTACGTAAGTATTAGATTTAAGTCTCAGTTTGCGAAAGTGAAGTTTTCATAGCATCGAAGTAGAACATGGAGCAATATTATCTAGATTTTTGTTTTCTTTGCAATAAGTCACCGGTGTACCTTGATTTGGGATGAATCATTCTTCAAACCCCTTATTTCAAACACAAGATTACACAGATTCCTGTGCTTTACAAGAATGTGTTCATAACTGAAACGACTGAAAAGAAAGAGCGGAAACAATGAAGCTGTGGTTGTTCTTGTATCTACTACTAATTTATTATTGACGTGGCCTATATACATGAAACCAATATCATAGATATTAATACATACCATTTGGTACTTACATAAAGCAGCTATTTATGGGTTTAAACCTAAATTAGTAAATAAAAGAAAGTTATAAAGTAAGCTGAGATCACAATATTAACAAGTCTTTAAAAACATGGGTGCACGATCCTCGTTATTTTTGCAAGCTGACAAACTGCAGAACACACTGCACACATAAAAAGAACACACTGCATACATACCAATTGGTACTTACACAGTGCACCATCCTCGTTAGAGCCTGTTTGGATCATCTTATTTTTAAGCTAAAAGTTACTTATAAGCTAAAGTTAAAAAAAAGAGCTTAAAAAAATAAGCTAAAAGCTGTTTGGAAATTACATAAAAAATTTAATTTAAAAATTACTTAAAAGCACATATTTTAAGAAAATTATCTCTCTCTCTATCTTTATCACTCTTCATTTTGGAAAAAAGCACACAATTTAAGAAAGACAAATAAGAGCTTAAAAAAAGCTCCTCTCAGTATCTTTTAGTTTTTAGCTTTTTTCTTCATTATAAAAAAAAGCTTTTTGTTATAAGAGCTTTTTCTAAAATCTGTTTGGCTTAGCTTATGCTTATAAGCAGCTTCTAGCTTAAAAAAGAGATGATCCAAACAGGCACTTAAGCACGTTATCGATAAGCTCATACGACGGGTTAGAGTCACCAAGTTTTAAAAAAAATTGTAAAATATATTGATATTGGAAGTTAAACTAATAACTTGCCCACTCATTGTGCTTTTCACCAGTTTTACCTCAAAATGATATTTATTTGCAAACTGAATCAAGACATTGTCATCATCAAAACTAAGATTGGAATACTCTGAGCATCTTAAAGCACATTTCTTATGTATATATCGGTTTATCCAAAAGAAAACAACTATGCAACTCTAGGCAACATAACAGAACACTTGCATCAGTTTTCTAACGAATAACTAACTGCATTTATCAGATAAGTTTGAACATTAGAACAGATTTTAGGAATGCAGCATATACTTAATGTCATAAGATGAATGCGGTGGAAATGAAAACCTAAAACAATAATGCTACCCGTTTTGAAATATTTGATTAGAATTTGTAAATAAATTAACTCGGCCTTAGCAAATTTTTTAAGTCTCAAATTAAAATTTCGAAATAATATATTATGTAAGAACTGTTCTAAGTGTAAAATCTTGGTTCTAAGTTCGGATGTGTTTTAAGAGATTTGAGAAAAAAAATAAAATATTTTTAAATAAAAACATGGGAAGAGTTTGAAAGGTGGGAGATAAATATAAAAAAAGAAAAATATTTCTGCAGTAACTGCAGATAAGTTATCTGCATTTACTTTCAAAATGACGTCGTTTTGAAATTGAAAGATTAAAAAATTATAATTATAAAGATTATAATAATCCTGAAATAAATTAAAATTATAAAAATACCATGATTTTCGTCCCAAAACGACGTTGTTTTGAAATTACTGTCGATAACTTATCTGCAATAATTGCAAAAAAAACGAATCCATATAAAAACGATAGTTAAAAGGTTAAGGAACTTCTAGAAAAACACAAGAAGGAAAAAAAATAAAATAAAGAATTCATTCCTGCCCACAAACAAAAGTTATGTTAAAGGCATAGGAACCTTTAGAAGGACAGCTCTTGTGGGACAAAGGAAGTGACCGTTAGAAACTTGAACGTTAAGCCCATTACAGCTCACTTCTAAGAATCTGAAACCTTTTATATTGAAAATTGGTAAGATGCCATTTCCATATATAAATACTCTCCCACTTTGCTAACACAACCCATCTGAAACCTCCTCTTATACACTCTCTGTGTTCTCTCTCTCTTACTCTGTCATAACAAGCAAAGCAACCACAAAAAGAAGAAAAGAAGAAAAGAAGAAAAGATGGGCATGGTGGTGGTTATCTCTCTCCCTCTTATTCTTTTCTCATTAATGCTTGGTTTTGGATGTTACTTCTTTGGAAGAGCTAGAGGAAGGCGAGAAGTACAGACCAACCCACAAGTTTATGGGATGCCAACTCCTCCGCCAGGTGCTGCAAATACCCTTCCTTCACAATCACCCCTTTTCAAGCCAGAGGGTGCTTCCAATGTTTGAGTTCAACCAACGCACTACGCATATATCCACACCATATCTACCCTCTCTCTTTCCCATTGTAGTTCCTGATTTTTTTTGTGCCTTTCTTTCTATTGGGTTTGGTGTAAATTGGTTGTTGTAATTGAATACTATAAAAAAGACTCCAGATTCATTTTATTCATTTGTATGCCTCTCTTTTATGATCTGTTTTTTCACCTTTTTTCTGTAATTGTTGTTTCGAAGTTGAAAGTTGAGCCAACTTTGATTAATTTTGAGTAAAATGTTATATTTATAAATTTTTTATTTGTTACAAATTACATTCGGTAAGATATTCTTGAGTGATATTTATAGTTTGTAAAAGAAAAAATTTGTTAATATACCTGTTCTCTAATTTCTGACATCGAAATTCAATTTTGCTCGTGAGAGACTGGGAGTTGAAGTTAGTAGATCTGAGCCATTCATTATTGGGACCCTGACCTTTGATTAGTTTCATGTTAGGATTTCAAAAGAAGAGAATTCTTTAAGAGCTAATAAAGTACAACAAAGTTTTGCGTACTAATAAAGATATGCTACCCAGCTTCTTAATGACACGGCCAAACAACATTTTAAGATAATCATAATATAATTTAAATTGTATACGCTTTAATAAGGACACTGGTGTATTTAGTTCGTTTCGTATAAAACAACCAATGAAGGATACGTGTTAAGCCTTTTAAGTGGCTAATATTATTAGATAAAAAAAATTCTTAACGTGAGTATCATTCGATGCATTGAGTACCACCTTGGCAACGTTCGCCATCACTTTTATCAATAGAATGTTTATCCTTTACGATGCGTTTGGTTGAAGATAAATTTTAAGAATACTAGAGAAATGTAATTACTAGGTAAACACAAGGAAAGTTGAATAGATGGGGAGTTAAAAAAAAGTAGTTTGGTTTGATAAAATTTTACCAGGAAAATATATGACAAAAAGTGTGTCAACAGTGTTTTACCCGGGTTTTCTCAAAAAACCACCCTCAAATCGAGTTTCTAAACGGTGCAAATTACTATCTTTCTCAAAAGTCAGGCATTTCACATAGATGGGTTTTGGTCAAAACCTGTTGAACCAAACATTGATTTTCTAAAAACCAAACTTCATTTACCTAAGAAAATCTCAAAAAACATGAAACCAAACGCCCCCTTAAGGCATTTGAGATAAGAAATTTCACAATTTAATTTTTTATAAATAAAATGAGGGCCGTGATAATTGAACTCATGATCACGTAGTCGTATTGATTTTGATATCATGTAAAGAAATATTTTAACTCAATACCTCAAAACATTTTGTATCTCGAAGAACAATATTTTTTTTTTAAAAGTGAATATTTTAAAAAATGAGGCGGTAATAATCGAACTAATAATTACTTAGTCATATTAATTTTAATATCATGTAAAGAATTATTTTAATTCAAGACCTTAATAGGGCGTTTGGTAGAGGAGAAATTTTTTTTTATTCGGGAATCTCGATTTTCAAAAATATGATTTTTATATTCAGTTTAAGATAATATTCGAAAATTTTAAAATTTAGAAAAATTCAGTTTCTCGAGAATCCGGCCAAAATCTTTGTACCAAATACCCCCTAAGACATTTCTATGTGACTACATTAATAATTTTTTTATGTCGAAGGACAATTACTTACGGTAGTGATGCACAATAATTATTCTATATGCAACTAAGATCAGCAATCTCTGACGTGTCTCATCTAATATTAACAGCTCATATGAGATAATTTCATTTGTTAATTCTCCTTTTGTCAGTTTTTATGTTAACATTTTATCTATCATATTAAAGAGACACATTCCAATGTTATTGGTGAGTTCATTTTCTACCAAACTTTTTTTTTATATACACAATTTTATTTTGAGCGAAGCCAATTTTGGATCCTAACAAAAAAAATATAATATCCACTAGAGTGTTTTTATAAAAAAAAATATTCATATTAGTTCTATTTTATGAACTAAATTGGATCTTCGTTGAATTTTTGAGGGATCACATTTTCAAAAAATTAAAATTGTAAAAGGATTAAAAATTAACTTTTTTTTTTTTTTATAAAGAACAAAAGTGGAAATTATATTTTTTTATTAGGAACAATAAAGGGACTTTACACTTTTATTTAAGCGTCTTGGTTTCTGATATTGGACCATGTGTTTCATGGACAAACTCATTTGCTAATTGAAATAAAAAAAATAATAATTAAAAAAAAAACATATTCACTTTAACAAAAATCAAATTGAAGGAATAGACTATTATAAGGGGAAAATGTTTTTTGACGGTTGAGCTGGGTTGGCTGGAAATAGTGTAAAGTTGTTCAAAGTAAAGCCCCCACAATTTCGATTGGCATTGGCCCACTTCTTTCTCTCTCTCTCTCTCTCTCTCATCAACGTCTTCTTCCTTGGGAACTGGAAAAAGACGAATCTTGAACAGATAGAACCAGTAGAGGCATACAACAAATCCTTCATCTGCACCAACCATGGCGGTATGCTTCCATTTCTCTCTCCCTTATTAGATTTCCCTTTGTTCTCGATAGATTGGGTCCAAAATTTCTGCATGATTTCATAATCATACAATAAGATTTGAACCTATCTCATGTTTTGCACACATTATACATATTTATTTATTTGATTCAAGAGCACTAAACCAATTTTTTTCTCTGTGTGTGTTTTTGTTTCATTTTCATTTCCATTTTGTATTTGTTCTGTCTGAGTCTCCGATGTAAAAGTGAGTGTTTGTGTTTGAATATGCACATGTTTGTTGTAAATTCCGCAGGACAAGGGTAGACCATTACCAAAGTTTGGGGAATGGGATGTGAATGACCCAGCATCTGCTGAGGGATTCACGGTAATCTTCAACAAAGCCAGGAATGAGAGGAAGACTGGTGCTAAGGTTGATTCACCACCTAAGGATAATAACAAATACAAGCATGAAGTGGTTCTTGGGAAGCCCCAATCTGTATGTTCTTTTCTTACCCCCATTCCCTTTTATATCCTTGCTATGCAATCACACTTGTTAACTTCACAACTCTTACCTTTTTACTAGATGCATGAATGATTCAAGTTAATATGTAAACAGTGTGCTATTGTTCTTTTTCATTTTACATTGTCCTTCATTATGGACATTTGCTATCTCTTCCATTATATTTAAAGAGCTTTGGGTATTGCAAAAGCCATTGCTGCTACAGCTTGATGGCAGTTGGATAGTACAATTTCTTATTCAAACTCTTACCTTATGGCTGTGATATAGTAAATTATAGCCATCTGCAGTTCCCGTTGCACACCTATCACCCATTCTGTGTCTTTCACTTGCTATTCTTGTTTAAGATTTGGTTGGTGAAATTGAAAAAAGGAGAAGGCAAGTGAATCTCAATTATAAGTTTGAGGAAAACCTTTTAGTCTTACTCCTCTCCTGCTTCCATTGGTAGAGCTCCAATCACTATGTCACCTAGCTTGCTTTGGTAGAAAAGTTACAATTTGTGCCATTTTCCTATACTCAAATGGGGGCACTTTCATGAAGAGGATTCGTGCTTCATGCTCGAACTCTCATATAGTATGCCCGTGTCTTCTAGTAATATGGATTGTACTGTATATGTTTATCCTTATTGGGAGGAACTTTTTTCATTCGACTCCCAAAATTTTGGTTTTTTATTAGAGCCCAATGGCATTGATTGATCTATGGAGCTGATTCCGAGCTATTGCATAAGGCTGGGAGGTTGTTATGTGTATATATATGTACGGGTGCTTGTTTGAATTCACTATTCATCAATATTTTGGCCTTTTCACTATTGTTAGTCTAGTTCCACCTGTGGTGGTTTCAGTGGATTGGTTTTGCACCAGACACTGTTGATTGTGCATCCCCCTATGTGATCGACAGGCAATGCTCGTACAATAACGAGAAAAGTTTTGCTATGGGCAAGTAGTGAACATGCCTGTCATATATATCTATTTATAAGCATATAGATGCTCATAGTCCAGTGGCTTTTTGAAGAATTAAGGAAACAGTAGCAACTTTTTATACATTTAAATTTAAGTGCTTTATATAGTACATCATTTATTTTTCTGCGGATGTACTGTTATGCATGTCTTTATCATGATTTATGTAATCATATTTGTTTCTTCTCAGGCAGTCATCCCTTCCATTTGTTGGAGGATTGATAAGGCCTTTTGACTAGTATCCAGTAGTTGTCTTTGGTGACCTGTCCTGAACATATTAATAACTTCTGAATGAATTGTGAATTCGACATTAACAATTTATATATGTGGTTTTAGCTGTTTAGACTGATTTTATGTTAGGGTAGCCATTTTAATCCTTGAAATGCCATGTTAGGGTAGCCATTATATATGTGGTTTTAGCTGTTTAGACTGAGTTAATAATACGCTGTTGTATTGATTTCTCCATCTTTTTTTATTCTTGCAGAAAAAATGGTTTTGCTGCATAAACACATCTGCGGAATCATGAGGAGGCTTTTTAACTCGTAACAGTTCTGGAGTGTAAGATAATTTATCCATACCTGGCCCCTGCATAATTCCGGAAGTCTGGAGCTTCATTAAAGCTATGATAGGTCCTGCTGGAATCTTTTGTCATAAAAGTAGTGTAGTTTGGGCTTGGGGAGAAAAATGATTAGGAAACAAATATTGCATGACATTTATATGAATTATGGTGAATTATTACTGGGATTTCATTTTGTCCAATAATTGTTGGATTCACACTTCATTGACTCGGCACTTTTTGGATTGAAGCTTTTTATTGACTCATACTTCTCTGTATTGTTTACAGTGGAGTTTGATATTTGTGTGTAAACTATATACTTATTTATTGAAGCCTCCTATTTATAAATGTTTGGTTAATTGTTTTATAATGGAGTTTGCCCTGACTTGTCCCTCTTGTGGTTCGCCAAGCTTTATAAGTTTATGGCTTGCATTGTTTGCCATCTCTTTAGAGATTCACACCGAAAACAAAATCATAATACAAAAAATTGAATGCAATCTAAGGGGTACCATAATCACTCCGCGGGGAAGGGGGTGGGTTTATCCTAATACTCGAAAGATGTACTTCTTTTACCGGGATGGATTTTGCCGCGCGATCCTGAAATTTTCAAGATATGGTATATACCTAAGCATACACTATTTTATTTGGATTTGTCAAACCTCAGTGTTAAATTGTTTTGCTTATATTTCAGCCATAACAAATTTCATATGCTGTTTGAGCAAGAAATTATCACTGAATGTGTAGCAACTTTAGTACGTAGGTCATCATTGTTTCTCACATAATATTATGACTAAAATAATACATCTTTGATATCATAGAAAAAGAGAAATATCTTGCTCCCGAAGTACATATCAATTTCTCCTGAGCCAGAACAGCTTAAGCAGGGTAATTTAAGTGAACCGCAACTCTACATGAACAGTCATTTATAATTTTTCGCCGGAAATCAACTGTAATTCACAATAAATAGCATCTTTCCACAAATATTATGAGTAGGGCGAACAACTAGTAATGTAAATATTCATGTGATGACAACTGAGAAAAAAAAAAATTAAAATAGCATTCTCATCTGTAGTGTTACAGGTTCCCAAAACATTGCCTAGCTCTAAACTCTGGAGGTTCCCAACTTTCGTTCAAACAAGCGCCGCAGAAGGTAGACTTGTAGTGAACTAGCCCCAATTAGTGCTGCAGATTCAAAGAGTGCTTTGTGTACTGCTCTTCGGCTCATTGCATCATTCACTGCAGTTCAGACAGTAATAAAGGAACATGGCATTGCACTCGCACTCAAGAAGATTTAACAGAGAAAACAAGTTTGTGGCTTTTGTCAACTAAGATGGCCATAATTCATTAAACTAGGCAAGGGCGCGGTAAAATATGGCTGTTTCTCATCTATCTGAATGGTGTGTGCATTTAACCGTGAGATGAGCAGCACAGGAGTAGTGCTCAACCTCTTAAGTCATCTAAATAAGGTCAACTTTGGCCTCAAAGGGAAGCCGTGGAACAGTGTCAAAAGATAGGAAATGATGTTCTCAACAGGGCAGTCTCTTTTGGTATAGTAGCTGAATAGAATTAGGATGATTACAGATTGAGACGGAAGGTTCTACTAAATGGTATCAAGATTAGAAAACCAGATGGCATACATAAACTAGGGTTTGTTTTATCTTCAACACCAATATATGTATATATATAATTGATGGGAAATATAGATCTCATGTAGTAGGAGAAGTTTTCTTTTTCCTGCAATGAATTAACACTATGTACTACAGGTAGTATATAGTTATAATTTTAAAAGCTGTTTTTTTTTTCTCTCTCGTCAGAGGATGTCGGTTGACGTGGCGGAGATAAAAAAACCAACTTTAATATTACAATTATATACTACCCGTAATACATAGTGTTAATTCGTTGCAGGAAAAATTTCTTCTCCTACAACATGAGAAGTTGGGGACCCATAATTGACATCTACAAAAGATTTTATGCACACAAAAATGTAAATTTCTAGATAAACAGAAAAGTAAACCTTAAAAAATACCTATTGCTTGGCGGTCTGTCTGAGCCTCTAACCAATGTTGTTCAAACTGAATGTTGTAAAGAGCTTCCTCCAATTTTGCTATCTGCTCCAGCAAAGGGGTGAAATGCTCTGCACACAGTCACAAAAGTTACCATGATAGTTCTGTCATTTTTTAGACTTCCATGCAACTTAAAGAGCAGTATTTAACACCAAAAAGTAAAAATAAATGACCAAATATAAGTGGACCTAATAGAAGATGCATTACCGTCTTTTGCATGTTGCTCAAAGTAAGAGAAGTGGCCAACATGTACATCAAAATCGATGGTTTCATGATAAGGAGACTTGTTGGTGAAGCAGAATTTATGGACCCCTGATTTGTGAGCCACAAACTCAAACTTTTCACTGGTCTTATCACGAAAATCTTGAACTTGATCACCAGAAGGTCCCTTTACCTGAAATTCTTACATTGTGGTGTAATGAGATTCCAACATGATCGGACAGGGTATCAAAGAAAAAGAAAGGAAAGATAAATTTAAAGAAAGGTTATTCCTATTACTTGTGGATTTGTTTAGCTGCCTAAGATATAAATGTCAAAAGATTTGGAAAGTAGCAGACCAACACATATATAGATACCTGAATGTGAATAGTTTATATTTAATTGTAAACGCGATATACCAAATATAAATTCCTAGACATAATGCGTAAAACATCTCTCTAAATATGCATTATTTCCTAAATAAAAGAACTTCAACTGTTTTAAACCATGATGTTGTCTCCTAACTACTAATATAATTTTTGCTTCTTTAGGGGTTGGATCAGCATGCATTTTTGCTATAATGTCCTTCAAATAGTTCAGCATGGTGAATGAATTAAAATCTTCAGAATGGGATTTAAGTTTGACAATGGCTCCAAAGATCTAGAAAGGAATAACAGTTTCAAGGTTAGGGTAAATAAAAGCATAGAAAGCTTCTTCTGTCCCGCTTAGGTATGAACAGACGTACATAAATAGCTTTAGCTTCAAAATGTTAAAACCCCAAACCAATACGTAAGAGAAATCAATATTATTGGTTTTTACTTTTTATTCATGTGCCTAAATTTCCATTCCCTTCCCAGAATAGAATTTTGAAACAGATTCCTATCAAAACCAAATAGCATAAATCAAATTTTTAAACTTAAGAAGTGGACAAGAAAGAAACTTCGACTGCTTGTGATTACCCTTCCGAATCATGAAGCTCAAAATTAAGGTAAAGCATGAAGGGGTACGAATGAAGAAGACGTTTAAGGTTGTTGCAGATAAAATAATAAATAAATGTGGGATTGGTGATATGATAGCGGTTAATGAAATCAAGTTGATGTAAGAAATCAACATTAAAGCATAAGATGAAGCAAATAAGAAACATACCACGAGATCGACACCTTCGCTACCGTAATGCCAGGGAGAATCAGCCTTAATAACAACGAAAGAAACATGAACGGTGTCACCCTCGTACTTAACATCATGGGAGAAACACTCGTCTCTGTCTATCACGAATCTGATACCCTCTGATCCTTTCAAGTTCCACAACGCCCCAATTAACGCAAAAAACAAAACATGCCTCATACACAATCCCATCTGCACCGCCAAAAAATTAAAAAAAAAAAACAAAAAAAAAATACCTTCATTGACATAGCTTCAATTCACAAACATGGATCCACAAAATTAAAAGAATGAAAGATACCTTATTGGGTGTCTCTCTTCGGAAATTGCAAGAAGAAGATGAAACTGAACAACGCCGAACACGACACACGCAGTACGCTATTTTTAATCTCCACGAAGTGTTTTAGTTTAAGTGATGGCTGAAACTGGAAACGGTGTCGTTGACCGACCTTTTAGTTTTGTCGTGTGTCGGTGTGTGATTGGACCATGCACCTCATCGATCCAATACCAAGCCCACACGTGGGATGGGTTTAGCACACATGTGCAACTGCAAACCAAAAATAATGTGAGTTCAAAATTGCAAAGTGGATCAGCAATGTGTTTCAAAAACCAAAAATTGAAAAAATATATATTTGTATATGTAACAGCATCAACTTTCACTTGTAATCTAGCTATAATTATTTAGGGATTAATATTTTTTTATTGTAAAAGATAATTTTATCTTTATATATAAATAAAAATATGTAATACTCATATAAGACCAAGTGAGGAGAAAAAGAAAAAAATATGGACCTCACACACTTTTATGTGTGGATAGAAAATAAAATTAGCTTCTACAACCTAAGAAACATAAATTCCAATTATTTATCAAAACTATATTTGTTTATTTTTTAATAAAAACTTAGGAGGGTATATTGGATTAGGATTTTAAAAGATTTTTCTGAGATAAAAATCTTATAGATTTTAAAAGACTATTTAGAATTGAAGGGACTTTAAAGACTTTTTCAAAAGACTTTTTTAAAAAACTTTTTCTACGATCAAGATTTCATAAGAGTGGATTATAAATGATTTTAATAGAATTTATAAAATTTGAAAGAACAATATGAATTTATAACATTTTAAAAAATCATATGAATTTTTAACAAACATTCAAATTTATAAGAGTCAATAAAAAAATAACAAAGAAATACAATGATATTAATAAAAAAAAGTAAAACATAATATAATTTTCTTAAACAGTAAAACATAATATAATTATTAACAAACATTCAAAATTAATAAGAACAACTCCACATACCTAAAGCTATGCTAGTTCTTCACGCATTAGCATTTTCTTATTCCTGCTATTGGATTTGACCAATGGGTTAAAAATTATTTTCTTTATTTGGTATCAGAGCTATGCATATATGATTATAAGACCAATTTTTTTTTATTTATTAAAATTGTTGTGGATTCCTGACTTAGGCTCCCCCCAAGATCAAAAGGAGCTTGTGTCCGAGTTAAGTTGTAACGAGTAGTTGTCTTGGTTAAGGCACGAGTCTGGATTAGTCACTTAACCGGGTAGGAGACCCACGTATTAGTGGCCTCTTTGGGCCCTACCACGATCTCAAACTAGGTTATCCATAACTACCCACGTTCATCATAACCGTCTGGAATAGGATGTATATATATATATATATATATATATATATATATATATATATACATGGAATGCTCCAAATGAGACATGCAGATATACAGAATACCCATTAATTTTCGTCCAGAACAAAAATAATTCTAAAATGTATTAAAAAAAAAAAGTTCATGATAAAATTTCGTTTGAAACCCACACCAAAAAAAAATTTCGTTTGAAACTTTTTGCAAATGATCTTGGAAACTTTGGGGGTTTTGTTCTACGTGATGAGATTTTTCTAAATATGCATGTTTTCATTAAGTATTCTTAGAAAATTTCGAATATGGATTTCTGAGTTTTATTACATGAAAGTTTAGAAAATTTCTCAAATTATTTTCAATCGATACATTGAAACTTTAAATTGTTTTGGGGCTTTTGAAAAATAATTCTTTAGTTATCTATTTACATAAAAATTGTTTGAAATCCTTTTTTATAGCGAAGGAATTTCTTTCATTAATGTATTGTTACGAAATATAAAGCTCATATTATGAAAGTTTTAATCTTTCTTTAAATTGATATTGTTTCATTGATGTAAAACAAAAATTGATTTGAGGGTTTTAATTCCCTTATTGTTTTCTCATTGTTTTATGTTGTTCTTAATACAAAAATCACACATTTTTATGCCAAAAAAATCGCAACTCAGCTTGAAAAATTGTTTTTTAAACTTCCAAAAGCTCTAAAAAATCTGCTGTTTTTGAGATGGATTATAATAGAATATTGTTGGTTTGTTATTTCTGGGTTGTTTTATGATGAAAATCTTTCAAAAATTTATTGTTTTTGAGCTTTGACGAAACTCTTATGGTGGAATCTGATTTCGAGCAGGTCAACCCATCAAAGGAAGAAGAAGACACTGCAATTGCAATAGAGAAATATCAAGAAATCCTAGGGATTAGGGTGAGATTGTGAGAAAGACATCTTATTTATATTTCTCACTAAAAAGTCTCACGAAATCCGCACTAATAGAAAATTCATTAAAATCGTCAGATTTTTGAATACCACAAGATTGTTTTTCCTTTGTTTAAAATCTTGATTGAATACCAAAGGATTTGAACGAACTCTAAAATAATCTTTTAAAATCCTAATCAAGTATCACATGACTTTTTTTAAATCTTTTAAAATCCTAATTGAATACCAATAGATTTTTTATCCAAAAATAATCCATTAAAATTCTTTGAAATCTCAATCCAATACACCACCCTTATTTTTTTAACCTTAGAGGATTGTAAATCATATACAATATCATCTAGAATTCAATTTCAATGCTAACAAAAAATATTATTTTCGGATTAAATGATTTATGACTATATTATTTAGTTAATTTGATATCTCGCTTGATTATTAATATGGTTAAATTTATCAATACAAATTAAATAAAAGTATAGTTTTTTATTGTAACAGTATATAATATTAAACTTTTATTTGATATTTTTTATGCTTTCAATTATAAGATGTTTTTTAAAGTATTATTTGAACAATTGTTGCAAGGTTATTGAGATACTTTCATCTCCCGCAGAGCATTTGATTGAACAAAAATTCCCATCATTTTTTCTGCATGCCAACATATTCTTAGCATTGCTTTTTTTAATATAAAATTAATTTTTTAGATATTAATATATTTAAAGCCTTAATATGTCCGACTAATTTAATTTTAAGTTTTGAACTTTATTTTTCTTCTTCTCAGATACAAATTTAGCTTTTCAATCAAAAAAAAAAATTCTTATTTTAACTATACGTTTTTATTAAGCCAAAACAATTCAATCCCCTCGGAAGAAATTTATCATTACTGGAATTTTGAAGAGCTCATAATAATACATAATGTAATTATTTTTGTTTGATGTCTGCCGAATTCGTTATGTTTTTTATTGTATTCATGTACATAGTTTTTTTTTTTTTGGTAGAAGTATTCATGTACGAGCTCATTTATTATGCTATTATGGTATGGGAGTTTGTGCTCCTTTTCGAAAAGTAGAAAGGAAAAAGGATCGGGAACAATGTATCACATATTGGTCACTTTTTTATTAGTACGTCACGCGAACAGTAATATTTGTCAAAATATCATGTGTCTGAGTTCGCTGCAGCAGGCAGCAAACTCGATTTGCTGATGTGGCGTATTTCTGGTTGCCATCTAGTTTGTTACTGGATGTAGCGAACTATTTGACAATTAATATCCCTCTGTTTTGACAAAAATAAAATATGTAGCAGTATCATAGAAGTTCGCTTGAGATAATAGCGAACTAAGTAAAAATAGTTGTGTCTGACACACACAAGTTCGCTACACTAAGTAGCGAACTATGTGCATAAAAATATTGAGGAAGAATATTCTCACTACCAAAATTTTTCACTACCAACTAACTATTTATCTAATCACCATTGAATTAGCATTTTCTCTCTGTTCAAAAACTTTTTAACATTCTCTCTCTTTGATCCAATGATGATTAGATAGATAATAAGTTAGTAGTCAAATATTTTAGTAATCAAAATATCCTCCCTAAAAAATATTTGACCTTTAAGGTCCAAACAATAAAATAGCATCAGAAAGACAAAAGTTAGGAGATACCAAGGATAACCTATAAAGGACCTATTGAGTACTCATTGTTTGCCTTATCTTATACAGTACTAGTAGTTAATATTGATTTTGCAGAGTGTTGACAACGCCCTTTATTATTAGAAGACACATAGTTCCTTACTTAATATAGCAAATTTATGTGTGTCAGACTACTTTTACTTAGTTTGCTTTTACCTCTAGCAAACTTTTATGATATTGTCACGTGTTTTGTTTTTGTCAGAGTAAAAAATATTAATTGTCACCTAGTTTGTTACACTTAGTAGAAAACTAGATGACCACCAGAAACACACCACATCAGCAAACTAAATTCGCTTGGCACTGTAGTGAACTTGCCCGCGTGACATATAAGAAAATAACATTGTTCGCATGGCATTTAAGTAAAAAAGTTATTGAACAGTGACATTTTGGTCACTATTCCAAAGAATTGGGAGGGGATTTAGATGGAAGAAAAGGATATAAATAAAAAAAAAATTTCTTTTTTTATAAAGGATCATCAAATGTATTATGCTCTTGGATCACATTAAAAAAATTCTTCATGTACATTAGTTATTCGTGTGTATGCGTTGCTTTTTTGGGGGTATTTCTTTCTGTTTTTAAGCATTTTTTATTCTAATGATATTTTAGTACTTTTGTGTTTTTATATTAATTATATTTTTAAGATTAATTAACGCCATATAAAATAATATTTTGAGGAATATTTTTTATTTTGATTTAAGTTAAAAATTATATTTGATAAAATTAATTTATTTTTCTATTGTACAGAATAAACTTCTTAAGTTCCTTAATCCCAACCCAAAAAAAAAAAAAAACCATTTCTCTCCGAATGATTGTTATGTACAGTTGTACACTCGCTCTTATAAAAAAAATTATGGAATATAGGTGAGAGTCATTTGTGAAGAACTAGAAAGAGATGAATTCATTAATGAAAAGATACAAGGACAAAGAACCCGTAGGTTCAACAAGCAAAAACTATAGCAAGGGTGTGCACTGTGCATGGAGCGATTCATAATCGGTTTTAACAAAAATCGAACTGCACCAATTTTAAATGTTTTGGTTTTCAAACCGAACCGGTTTTCTTCTTTTAAAACCGGTTTTTAATTTTCTAAACCGGTTTGAAACCTGTTCCAAAACCGGTTTATAGTTTATAGTTTATAACCGGTTTTGATTTAAAACCA